CGGAGAGCAATCATGTACCCCATTGGAAATTATATAAAGCAGATTGGAGTAAATTTTAACATCTCAGTACCAAAATTCTCAACACCATTGATTTCCTGAATTTGGAAGACGCGATAGAATCCTTTACTACCGAACTTCAGATAGCCGAAGAATGTATACCAATATCAAAAAGAAAACGCAATAAAAAACCTTGGATTAATGAAGATTGTGATAAAGCTATTCGAAATATGCAAACCGTTTTGAGGCAATTCAAAAACAGCCCCACAAGCGATAGAATAAACAACTATAAATATATTCGAGCGAAAGCCCGTCGTGCTATACGCTTACACAAAAAATTATCTTGGAGATCTTATGTATCCAAATTAAATTCCAATACATCCCCCCAAAAGGTATGGGATACAATAAAACGAATCAGTGGTAAAACATCATTCAAAACAATGGAATATCTGAAAATTAATGGAAAATTAGCCACATCGAAATTTGATATTGCAAATGCTTTAGGATCTGGTTTTTCCAAAAATTCGCCTAAACTAATCATTCCAAAAAACTTAGAAAATCGTTGAAAAAATCACATGACTCTGCAACAGGACCTGATGATATTCACTATCAGCTCCTAAAACATCTACCAGAGTTATCATTAGAAAAACTTCTAGATATTTTTAACCATATTTTTAGATCGGGAAATGTTCCAAAGTCATGGAAAATGGCAACTTTGATTCCTATCCCCAAACAGGGTAAATATACAACAGATCCCTCCAGTTACCGCCCAATATCACTTACGAGTTGCGTTCGTAAAATTCTAGAGCGGATGATAAATTCAAGATTAATTTGGTATCTGGAATCGAACCGCATAATATCACACCTACAAAGCGGTTTTAGATGTAAGCGAGGTACCAACGATCATTTGGTTAGACTTGAAACATTTGTGCGTGAGACTTTTCTAAAGAAGGAGCACTTGGTTGCTGTTTTCTTCGATTTGGAAAAGGCTTTCGACACAACGTGGAAATAATGAAAGATCTGCACGATATAGGTAGTAAAGGTAATCTACCAATTTTTATTTCAAATTTTCTATCTGATAGAGTGTTTCAAGTCCGGAATGGGACGACCCTTTCCGATGTTCATCAGCAGGAAATGAATGTACCACAAGGTAGCATTCTTTCGGTTACACTTTTTGGACTTAAAATTAACAGTATTGTCAAAGCATTATCCCCCGTCAATAGAGGGCGGTCTTTATGTCGATGACTTCATCATATGCCATCGATCTAAGCATATGAAGACCATCGAAAGACAACTACAACAATGTTTGAATCGATTACAAATTTGGGCAGATGAAAATGGTTTTAAATTTTCACAATCAAAAACAGTTTGAATGCATTTTCAAATTGTCATTGTCACGACGATCCAAATCTGTCTCTCTTTGGTGCACCCGTTCCGGTTGTTGAGCAAACGAAATTCTTAGGTGTAATTAATATTCGACAGGAAATTGTCGTTCCTTCCACACATAAAATACGTTAAAGCCAAATGCCTTAAGGCACTGACTATTCTAAAGGTTGTGTCACACACTAATTGGGGAGCCAATAGAAAAGTTTTCCCCAAGACTCTGTAGAGCCCTTATTAGGTAAAAATTGGACTACGGTTCCATCGTGTATGGATCTGCTAGACCTTCATATCTAAAATTATTAGACACTGCTCATCATCAGCTCTAAGACCTGTTAAGACCACACCTACAGTAAGCCTCTATGTAGAGGCTAACGAACCATCACTATATAGCCGTCGAAATAAATTGGCTTTGTAATATACCATTCATCTAATGTCAAATCCTTCAAATCCTTTTTCCCAGGGATTTGATCAAAAATATAAAACCCTGTTTCAAGGCAAACCAAAAACCATTCCATCATTTTGTATTCGAATTTCCGCTCTTTAACAAAACACAAATATTTACGTTAACCAAATTCAGTCATTTTGAACGATATTCCACCCTGGCTCTTGATTTCACCTGAAGCTGATTTTCACTTCATGAAATCAGACACAGACAGTTGCACCTTTCGTTCATCCTTCTCGAAATTGCAGTTAAAATATGAAACGTTTCTACTTTTATATACTGATGGTTCAAAAGATAATGATAAGGTTGCTGCGGCCATGGTTACACAAGATGAAATCTATGGATGCCGGCTACCGAACAACGCCTCAATATTCGCGGCAGAAGCGCGAGATATCTACCTCGCCCTTGAATATATTCAAAGAAACAAAGTGATGAGAGCTGTCATCCATTCAGACTCTCTTTTTGTTCTACAAACTCTTAGCCATAGAAATATCGAAAATATTTTCATTCGTTATACATTAATACTATATCATGAACATAGCCTTTAACTTTCGTATTGGTTTTTGCTGAGTTCATGGGCACATGAGAATACCAATGACAACCCAGATCGTGCCGCGAAGGAAGATTTATCGCTACCACCTGTTGTTTTAAACTTCACAGATTTTTAAGCCATTTATTAAACAAATTTTAAAAGCGCAGTGGCAGGAGGATTGTAATACCTATACCAATAACAAATTGCACTCTGTTAAACCTGTTACCGGTTAATAGTCACCAGGCTATAGAGACAACCATCGAGATTGAGTTGTCATTGCCCGTCTTCGGATGGGTCATACATACCTTACACATTCATATCTTGTTGAAAGGCGAAGATAATCCTTGGTGCATAGGATGTGATGAGCCATTCACAGTTAAACATTTTTTTATTGGACTGCAGTTACCTTCTGTCTACTCGAGAACATTTTTTCGTAACATTACATGTCTAAAATCCCTTTTTGAAACTGTAGAGACTTGTAAAATTCTACATTACCTGAAAGATGTTGGTCTATATAATAGACTATGACGTACTATTTTAATCTTTTGTGTTAACATACCCATTTAAGATTTGTAACATTTGTCTTTTACCTTTTGGTTTGTTTAATGCTATTTCCTTTTGGATCGCCGTGTGTTTTACCGTTTGATGGCCCTAATGACCTTTGATATGTTGACGGGCCGTTAAGAATGTAATAATAATAATAATTCTCCCAGTACTAACGTGACACAACACGACAGACAGGTTACCACTTTTAGAGGATTTTTACAACGTGCAGTAGGATAAAGCGGATATATTCTAGCCCCTATCCGCAGGGGAAAATTGAATAAATAAATAAACAAATGTAAATGACTGAAGGAAGCCTCAACTTGTACAATCAAATGCCACTGTATTAAGAATAGGAGTGAAGAGGGAAGCTGTGGTATTAGCAAAAAGATATGCTCTTACACATGACGATCATGTCAGAGACCGGAAACTGATGAAAATTACAACTTTATGCATTACGTCACATCTTAGCATTGAATATTGTACGCTGATATATATAAACATTCATATAAATAGAATGTCATATTTTTTTTATTGATTTTTCCAATTTCTTCCGTTCGTTCACAAATTTATTCGTAAGCGTATCGCATTGACTGCAAGTTTGGGCTTTATAATGAACAAGGTTGAATCACCTAGATTAATGAATTAATTTCTATTAACCTGTATAAGCTGAGTAGGGACATTCTTTTCTATGCATAATAACCTGATTGTCAAATTTATATCGTCTCTTGAAATGTTGAATGGGAGGCAGGTCGTAACAGCGGACGTTAAACTCGTTAAGTAAATTAATAAATAAACTCAGCTTTACATATTGAAGTGTTGTTATTACTGATCTTCACGAAACAAGACGTTTGTTTATTAAATGAAAAATGTATGATTGAAAGCTGAAGATTGTTGAGTTAAATTTACAAAACAATCCTACAAAGCTGTGAAAGTGCGTCCCACTAGCCAATGTTATAAACACTTCAGAATGCCGCCACGAAAAAAAATAAATTGTACATGTGTAGTAGATGCGTTTTCATATGTAGTACGATATCGCAAGGGCTGCTTACTTTTTTAACGTCATATCACAGGTAGAATGCAAGTAAATGTCATCGCTACTATATCAGTACAGAAGCACGATTTCGTCTGGAGTTTTTTTTTTTTTTTTTTATGAGTTCATTATTACTTTCTCAATAGGCTATTGTGTTCTGTGTAATGTTTTAGCAAAGCCGTGTAAAACAGTACAAACACATACCAAAGTATGTAAAATGTTATAAAAGATGCGTAGACTCTTCCTGTATTTTTAATAACTAAATCATGATGAGTGGATATACGATATACATATATGACAAAGTGTAAGAAAATGAAAAAAATGTTCAGAACGCAACTTGCATATAAATTAAATGAAACAGTACGCAAAGATTATTACACCATTTTCTCTTTCTTCTATATTTGAAAAAAGTAGGCCTAGGGAAAACATTGTAAAGGTAGACCAACAGTCCCTGTCGTGAAATGAATGTACTGTAATAAAACATTTATGCAATATACTGCTTAGAACAAGATCTATTCCGATTTTTTCGTATAGCACAGAAGCTTGTGAACTCCAGTGGACTACAATGTTCAACTCCCTTTCTTAATTTATTGAATTCGATGACGCTACAATTTGAGCTCCAGTGTACTAGACAACAAACTTTAGTTAGCTTGCAACTATAGACGAAAAGCCCTTCAAATTGTTCGTCAAATATTTCGAATTTTAAGATATTATTGCATAGTAATATTACAGCTTGGACAGTCAAGCATTTAATTTAAGAAAAGTGTGATTACATTTGTAAGATCGACAAAAGTACCATATCAACAAAGAAAAGTTTGCAAGTAATCTGTTTTTTATGTTGTTGACACAACTCGTATATGTTAAACGCAATTATATATCCTTATAAGATGTACTTTGCTGGAGACGAGGCCAACAACACGGACACCAGAAGGAGCATACGTCACTCAATGCTTTCATTCATCCTGTGTCAAGCCTAGGCTTTTTGTCATTAACATTATGTACATACAGGTGGTGACGTGGAGTGATACTTGGGGATGAGATCAAGTATTCCCTAATTGTTGGTCGATAGCATGGCGACAAGTAAGGAGTTACGGACTAGAAGAATTGTCATAGTCATTTACAGCATCCTATATGTTGCCCTATCAGAAGGTTAGTATAAGAAATGTTATGCATATCCCTACAAGGAATGACACTGCCTTAATTGTTTTGATTCGTTTTATCTTAATTATTGTTATGCGTTATTTACCTATTTATTTATTTAAGGCTTTTTACATTTCAGTAAATATCACAGGTAATGTCTTTCTCAAAATTTCAGGCTATCGGTAAAGAATAAGCTTTGGATTTTCATTTTATAATTCATAATTATACGCCCTTATTTCAAATACACTTAACTTAAAAAAAGGACGATGATTTGAATTATTCTAAAATTTGATCAAGGCATAAATCAGTTATCTTTTCGGTTTTCGTTTTGATTAAAGACTCATCTGATTAAAAAACGGTACCTCGAACCAAATGTACATTTACTGCAAAATTGAAATGTGCATAACGGCTGCATGCCAAGTTTGAATTAGTAGTACAATACGACTTAAACAATTTACACTGAAAATGTAATAAAGCTAGATATGCTTGCTGAATACCTCTTACCTATCAATCTCTAACAAAAAGTCCTCTGATTCCTCCCTTTCCCATGTCTCGTGTTCTCTTAACGAATCTCATTCCTCTCACTTTTATAAAATTGCTCTTCCTTTCCTGTTTCTGAAAGGAATCTAACATACATAATTGATTCGTATCGAATTACTCATACCTGTCACTCAATCAACAAAACTCTCATATCCCTCTTGATCACTTAACGAAACTCTCGTTCCTCTCACTCTGATCCAACATTTGTTATATCTCCTTTCGAGTAACTCATACCTCTCGCCCTCTAAATTAAACTGTCATACCCCTCATTGTGTCCAATGCAATTATGTTCATTTATTCTTAATGGCCGGTCAATACATAAAAGGTCATTAGGGTCATCAACTGGTAAAATACACAGCGATCGAAAAAAAAAAAAAAAAAAAACATCAAACATACTAAAAGGCAAAGACAAATGCTAAAAATCTTAAATGATAATATTATCACAAAAAATTTGTATGTGAAGTCATGGTCAAATTGTATAGACCACCATTTTTCAGAAAAAAAATTCTCGGCAGTTTCAAAAAGGGTCTTTAGACTTGTAAAGTTACGATACTGGTAGAAAGAAGATCAGTCCAATAAAAATGTCTAACAGTGAATGTCCCATCACATCCTATGCACCAAGGATTATCTTCGCCTTTCAACATATATGAATGCGTAAGGTATGTGTGACCCATCCGAAGGCGGGCAATGACAACTTCGTCTCGGTGGTTGTCTCTACAGCCTGGAGACCATTCATCGATAAGAAGTTCAAAAGAGTGCAATTTGTTATTGGTATATGTACTCCATTCCTCCTGCCACTGCGCTTTTAAAATTTGTTTAATAAATGTTTTAAAATCGGTAAAATGAAGTTTAAAAACAACAGGTGGTAGCGATAAATCTTCCTTTGCGGCACGATCTCGTTTGACATTGCCTGGTATTCTCATGTGCCCAGGAACCCAGCAAAAAGCAATATGAATGTTAAAGGCAAGTTCATGATGTAGTATTAATGTATATGATATTTCTATCGCTAAGACTTTGAGTTTGAATGGATAACAATTCTCATTACTTTGTTTGTTCGAATATTTTTAAGGGCGAAGTAGATATCTCGCGCTTCCACCAAGAATATTGCGGCGTTGTGAGGTAGCCGGCATCTGTAGGTTCCATCTGGTGTAACCATGGCCGCAGCAACTTTATCTTTTGAACAATCAGTATATAAATGTAGAACTGTTTTATAGTTTAAGTGCAAGTTCGAGAAGAATGACCGAAAGGTGCAACTGTCCGATTTAAACCATAGCATGGAATGAAAAGTCAACTTCAGGTGAATTCAAGAGCCAGGGTGGAATTTCTATCGTTCCAAATGACTGAATTTGGTCAATATCAATATTTGTGTTTTGTAAAATAGCGGAAATCCGAACACAGAATTATGGAATGGTGTTTTTATATTTTGGATCAAATACAAATGGAAAAGCAAGATTTGAAAGATTTAACTTTAGGTGAATGGTGTATTGCAAAGCCAATTTATTTCGACGGCTATATAGTGATGGTTTGTTAGCCTCTACATAGAGGCTTGCTGTAGGCGTGGTCTTAAAAGCTCCGAGAGCGACCCTCAGACCTTGGTGATGGACAGTGTCTAATAATTTGAGATATGAAGTTCTAACAGATCCATACACAATCGAACCGTAGTCTAATTTTGATCTAATAAGAGCTCTATAAAGTGTTAGCATTTTTTTTCTATCAGCTCCCCAACCAGTGTGGGACACTACCTTTAGAATATTCAGTTCCTTAAGGCATTTGGCTTGGAGGTATTTCATATATGTAAGGAACGATAATTTTCTGTCGAATATTACATATAAGAATTTGGTTTGCTCAACAACCGGAATGGGTACACCACAGAGAGATAGATTTGGATCGTCGTGTTGTTTCCACATTTGTCAAAAATGCATACAAAATGTTTTTGATTGTGGAAATTTAAATCCGTTTTCGTCTACCCAAAGTTTTCTCTGTATGAAACTATTGAAAGAATCTATCACACGTAACGCTCAAAAAACTACTCATATATTCCATTGTCTCTTTCACGAATCTTTCACATCTCCTACCCTCTAATCTATCCTGTCCTGGTGTCTCTTCCTGTCTCCTATCGCATAACAAAACTGTCATGTCCCTCATGGTCTGTAAGCAAATCACATGCCCTTGTAAACAAACCCATTAACACGGGTATATGTCTCTTACACATACATCCATACATACATTAATCTCCACACAAACCCCTCACATCCCAACTCTATAAACAAACCTCCCAGATCCCTCCTTCCTTTATATCAGATTCCTTATACCTATGAACATCTAAACGATTTTCCTACATCCTCACTTTTTATTCAGAAAATCTCCAATATCACTACCCCTCGAAACGAAACTAACATTCACCTCTATGAACGAAGTTATGTATTGTATGGATAGATATAGATTATTAGATAAAGAAAACGTTACATCTATGTCCATGTCATATTTAATTGATTAAATAGGTCCTATAATTAAAGGTGTCTGAATGACTGCTTCATAAAAAATGATTGCATTCGTTGAAAAATGTGTAAATGGACACTCATACAAGATCCTCTTGTAGACGAAAACACGTTATTCTCAACTAAACATCGGTAGAAAACAAAATAAAATACCTAATAAACAAACACGTTATACAAGTAGACACACATGAAATATGACAAATTTATCCGAACATTGATGTGGTCTAAGTATCATGTTTTTTATCCTCTACAAACGACCCTTCATTATTAGACGAATAGCTCCGAAGCCTTTGAGTACAGAAATATCGCGTACGTTCAGTATATGGGAGGTACTTAACCTATGGACGATATTAGTGCCCAGAACGTGCACAGGCACTTGTAAGTAAGACGTGCTTACGATGTCAAGGATATCATAAATTACACATGAAGTATGCACTTTTAACATATACATTGCAAAGTAAAGTACTACCCTTATATACAATGGACATATAGTCTTCCTTATCTCTTTAATACTCAAGGCGTCTGCCTGCCAAGCTGGCGTTCTTTGTCGTAGCTTATTCACAAAAATTAACAACAATAATCGTTTTATATGTAGAATGTAATTACATGCTAGAATAGGAATGACACGAAACAACTACAGACATACTACATACTGGCGTTGGTGGCGAACAACGGGCGTAATGCTGGCGTTATGCAACAAATATAGTATATCTTTATGTTCCCATCAGGCAAAGCCTATATAAAAATAAAAATAAAAAAAAAACAACAAATGTATGTGTATCTCATCAAAGCAAAAACCAAGGAGAAACAATTTAAATCTTAAACTTTTTATGTGTGATGAACCTTTAGGTTTGTAATGATAAACTACTTGGTGTAAACATTGGTGATGGGCTTACGTGGTCAAGTCATATTACATCTGTTGTATCTAGGATTAGACAAGGACTTGGTTTATTACGACGCATTAGTCCATATCTACCTACTGAAGTTTAACTTAGGTTTTTTAATTCTTGTGTTTTCCCACACTTTTATATTGTGGTACTGTGTGGTCAGGTTGCAACAAAAATTTAATGGGAAAACTCAAAGCTCAGAAGCAGGCAGCCCGTATTATCTTAAATGTACCTTTTGACACACCCTCCAGTGTAATGTTTCAGCAACTTAGATGGATGCTAATTAATATGTATTACAAATTTAGAAGGCTGTGTATGTTATTTAAATGTTATCACCAGACTGTTCCAGAATATTTGTCAAACAATGTATCACTAGTGAGGAATTGTCACAACAGGAATACTAGATATGCTTCTGAAAACAATTTCCAAGTGCCAAAACATAGAACTGTGTTTTATTCTAAACAATTTCTTATTGACAGCATTAAAAAATAGAATATTTTAACCAACGATATTAAGAATGTCCACTGTTTTTCCACTTTTGAAGGAAAACTTATTCAACATCTTATATCTATGTCTTAGATATCTTAGTGATATATTTGGCATTCTTATTCAACTTTTTTACCACCATATTGACCTAAATTTTAGATTATACTATATTAGCGTATAACTATGTCAATTTTTATCTGTTTGCTATATTAGCATGTATGTATATTAGGCAACAGCCATTTAATTGATCAAAATGTTTTTGCATGAGTAATTGTGCATTCTGTGATAATTTTAATTAATGTCTGATTTTTTTGGGTTTAAATCCTATTGTTGGTTAATATGAAGTTTGTAGTTTAAACTTGATTCATGTATGTAACTTTGTAGATTTTAACAAACATTATTTTACTAACCAGAGGACCATGTGGAAGATTAGCATTTGGCTTGTTTTATATCCTCAATAAATAAAGTTTATTATTATTATATAAAACTTCTCCTCATATCTTCAATATCTAGTGTATCTTGATGTCCCCATCACACAAAGCATACACTTTATAAGCCTTCTTATAACTGTAGTAGGATACAATGCTGGAAAGACACACATAAACAACACAATGTCCCCATCTGACCAAACATAGCTATCTTCATTGAAATATTTTAGAATCTTCCATAACAGTGATGGCGTATGCATGTCGCACGCAGTGTTTTGCAGATAAATTTGGCTGAACTTCTACCTATTTTCAGAAAACATTGCGTTAAGGAAAGTGGCCATTCAAAAGGATGCTTATCAAAGTTATTGGGCAGGAAAGGCTGTGGACGGATGTTTGGATACACACTTTGGCAATGGTTGTTGTTCACATACAAGTGCTAACCAGATAACGGCTTGGTGGCGCGTCGACTTGGGGCAGCTAAGCATCGTCAAGGCTATCAGAATATACTTTAGGAGTAAGTTAAGGTGTAAATCATGATGCGAAAAATACTCTATTAAACAAACTAAATGACAGATGACAACACGTCAATACACCCACACAGCTTAATCAGTCATGAAAATTATCATGGTTCGGTATGCATTTTGAACGGTCTAGCAATATTATGTAGACAAGAATGTTCTAAATATTTGGTTGTAGCATTGAAAAATTACCCAGTGTTGACTGGATGTACCTAACAAATACGATTCACTGCGAAATAGTAATTATATGTTATACTCTGAAGACGATCTGTGTATGATATAAGCAAAACGTCAAATTAAGTTTATGAACCGATATACATTTGGCGGGAAACATTAACCGTAACGTACCTCCTTGTATGTCGCATTTCATGTGGCTTACTGAGAGTGTTTTCTCCGATTTCCGCTGATCTTCCAATCGTACGATCATAGGAAGCGACTTAAAGTTGAACCCCTCCAAGCAAAGAGGCTTTCTTCAGTGTCTTTGAATCTTTGGAGACACGGCAGAGAACTGTGCTCTCCATTACTAGTGTTCTCTTTACTCCCATCCACAAATGAATTTGGCTGTTGCGAAAATGTTAAACCTGAAAAAAAAAAACAGAAAAATCCCAGAAATGCTTTGCTCAGAAAGTCAATTTTTGAGGAAAACAAAAAAACAAAAAACAACAACAAAAACGCAACAATGAAAAACAGGTGCTCTGCTCAGGAAGTCATTTCTTATGTTTATTGACATTTTTTATTACAGTTCTTAATCATGATTTTGATATTGTTTATCAGCAAAGTTTCCAGAACGTGTAGCTGGGTATCAAATTTATGTCACCAACTCTTCAGAGCATGCTAACTTGATGGGACACGGGATTCTAGTATACAGTGAAACCAGCAGGACGGCGGATGAGGTGCAGACACCAGCTACACACACGGGAACATACACGACACGCTACGTAACCATTTATAATCATAGGGAAACTCCAAAACGGCATAACTGGTATTCTGACAAGGCATTTCTAGAAATTTGTGAGGTTCAAGTGTTTGGTGAGTTGTAAAAGAAATTCCGGCAAGCATTTTAATGTATAATGTGAAGGTGAAAACGAAATCCCTGCATCCCCAACTGATGGTATTTGCATGTCGTAGTTGATTCAATATTAAAGGGTTTGTTCCCAACATCACTGAATATTATAATTTTAATGCAAAAGTTAGCAACTTTCAAACTCAGTGTCTCGAGGAATGCTCGTCTGCCTTGTTCTCGTTTGGGAACTTGACGTGAAGTGGTTTGACAAAGCTTTACAGGCCATATGTCGTCGATGAAGCAGAAGACGCGTATGCTTCCGGAACACCTAGTCATAATTTTGAATTTTCGGTTTACAAATTTTGTTAACTGCAGATTATGTTGTATTTTTGTTAACAATTTCGTTGTTAATTTTGTTCTTATCTGAGAAAATGATATCACTCACATGTCGATCAATTGAACAATCGAATTTCGTGTGTGGTTGATCAAGCAGAACTTTCCAAAACACCCCGTCTTACTCTCTTTGTAAAGGTCGTAAATCGTTAGTTTGTTCAGATTTTATCCTCGTGGGTCTTTGTTTTGTGCGGCATTCAATGTTTAAAGATACTCTTATATATTTAGTTACAACCTACGTTGAACCAATCAAGTGATAGCGAAATCAGAGTTTGACAGTTATGAAAAGCAGTGCAGATTGACCGAATAATCAATTACCAATCAACAGCCATTAGACGTCAACCAAGCAAACAAACAAGCAATATGATTGTTCTAGATTTTAAGTTCCAAATAAGAAAAGTACGACACTGGGGAGATGCATATCATAACATGTTTAAATGTATCTTACATATCACACACACACACACTATATATATACACACCTATTTATGCAGATTAATAAAAAATTAGTAGTCATGAGTAGTAAAAAATATTCTATCTTAGTATTCTAAGTTTTCTAAAGTTTAGTTTGTTATGCATTATTTGTCCAACAAGTTGTAAGTTGGTATTTGCTGTTCAACTTCCAGACTATCTATATTGTTCTGGCGAGACATTAAATGCTGCATTTTAATCAAAACAAAATATGGCGTTTTCCATTTCAAACTGACAGATTTTAAATGAACCAAATTTCTTCGAAGTTTTTATCATGTGGATTATTCACATTCAAACTATATAAGTGTAAATTACTTTAGTTTTGGAGCGATCAAAAATCGAAAGTTAAAAACATATGTGAGTTTATATCCTCTTCAGTTGCGATGGTAGTTTAGTAGGTATATATGTAAAACAACTACTTGCCTATAATGGGATTTGTCATGTATTTTCGTTCGGTTTACTACGTTTAACAGGATGTATAGCAGGAAAGTATGGAAGGGGTGATTGTAGTCAGACTTGCTCCATGGGCTGCTTTCACGGAACCTGTGACCCTACTAGTGGAGTTTGTCTATGTATGTTAATTGCATGAATGCTTTGTTGTGTTTGAACGAATTTGTATTCAAGACAAATCAGTGGGATTTATCTTATTAACGTTAAATAAAATAAGAATGAAATAACATATATATTAATAAGTTTTTACTTTGGGCCCCGTATGGAAAGTGCCCGAAAGTAATAACGATGTCTTTCGGTCTGTCCTTACGTCCGCCTGTCCGTCAGCACTTTCGTTTCGAGAGATTATCTCAGAATATAGTAGGTCACACTTTCTAACCGATAACATGATGCAGTATGATGTGTAGATATGCAATAAGGGCTTAAGCCATTCTAAGGTCAAGTTGGAAAAGAAGTCGGAATATGTATATGTTCGATTATATATATTTTTTGGTCAATATGTTAAGACATCATCAAGCAAAGTTGAACAAAATGATATGAAAAGTGCTTGGTCAAAGGTCAAAGTCAAAGTAGTGGTATTTTTTTTACCGCTTAACATATATTTTAAAGATATTTTATTCAAACTTGATCAAGAAGGCGTTTGTCAACTTCATTGTCTCCGGGTTGAAAGTTCAAATATTGGATATTTTTACCACAAAATGTTTTAAAACAATTATACTCCAACATCGAACTTGACATATTCCACTTATTGTTGGTGATAAATATTACCATATAGATTTCATGGGTATTTACAGATGGTTGCGTTCATGGAAAATATGGTGACAAATGTGAAGACGACTGCTCAACGTCCTGCCTTAACAACGATTGTGATAAGACCACCGGCTACTGCTACGGTTATTAACTACAATACAATGTGCAATATCATTTAGCTATTTGGTCATACCAACGTATATATTTCAATTCAACATGTTAAAAATGATATACAAAATTAGTAACTACCAATACAATGTTCAAAATATATAAAGCTTTTGTGCTGGTCTACTTACTATCGAATTTCAGTTATCATGCTTGAACTACTGATTATTTATATCATATCAATTTCAGATTGCATTTCTGGAAAGTACGGTTCTACCTGCGAATACAGTTGTTCATCGAACTGTCTCGACACTACCTGTGATAAAATCATTGGAAGATGCTTTCGTAAGTACATCTTATTACTTGCAAATGTAATTACTCTACACAGCAATGTTACGGTAAGTTGATTATAACTCGTGTAATATTGACGGCGGCTGATGAATTTGCTCTTCATGCTTTCGTTCTTATCCTGGTTTTGTTTCTACTATTTCTAGAGAAGGATCATATATTTCATTTGTATGTTCCCCTGGTACGTGATGGGAAAAACATTTTTGCCGACAGTCGGCCATCTTGGATTGTGACATTTACAATTTCTTAGAGCTATCGTCGATGAATACTATATGAATCAATATCAAATTTCAGATGCAGGATTAGCATGTTGGACAAAAGGTGCCAGTTATTTTTTTTACAGTAATAGTTTGTTATTATCAGATGTATCAGCTCAGCTGAGGCATTATAAGCTGGAACATTCTCTTCTTTCATACGTAGGTTCCCTCGTTTCCCTTGTTAAAATTGTCTTGGCGTGTTTGATGCTCGTTAGTTTGCCTGTTATTTTTTGAAAACTTGAGAACTTGACATTACTTACCTGGATTGACAAAAGTTTACATTGCGGGTGTCGTCAATGAAGCAGAAGACGCTTATTTTTCAGGAACACCTGGTCTTATTCTCTTGTATTTTTTTCAGTGTAAATATTTTGGTTTATTTGTCATTGGCCTATCTTTTGATATTGAGTTATGATTATGATTACGTTGACATGTTGCTATTTTCTTGGTGTTTTTGAAAAACAAATGGCCAACGGGCTACTATATTGAATTTTGACAGTACGTTTCTGTTTATTCCCTTTCTGGAGAAGTACAGGATGGATCGTTATCAAATTTATGTGTAAAATCAACTTTGTCCCTAGTTCCTTATTTTACGTTTTGGGATTGATCGAAAAATTAGCAATAAAATTACCGACATATCTCATATGTATTTCTCCTTAGTCCGTACATGATTGATTTTTGGGTAGTTGATTCCGTCCTGAAATAAACACGTGTGAAGTTACAGAGACTGACTGGAGTCATTTGAAAGAAACATGATGTCAGATTAGTCGCACCTATCGCCAGAGGAAGGTAAAAAGGACGTTCAGGCAAAACAGGTATATCTCGGTTTAAACCCCGGAGAGCTTAAACTTCAACAATCTGTCCGAGTGGCAGGGTTGGATGGAACGGTTCAAAAGATTTAGAATGGCGCCGAAACTGAAAAAGGACGACGATGCAGTTCAGATTATCGCCCTTACTTATGCTGATGGGAAGGAAGCCGAGCATGTATCTAAATCACTGCAGTTTCAAGAGGCAAGTGACAAAGAAAAACACGACAAAGTGTTAGAGAAATTAGACGAATTTGTTGTGCCCAAGAGAAACATTATTCATGAACGAGCGAAATTTCATCAGCAAGTACAGAATCCAGGTGAATCAGTAGAAACTCTAGTGTGACGTTTGTGTGAAATAGCGGAACATTGTAATTTTACTGACAAGAATGAGCACATTAGAGATCGTGTTGTCATTGGAATTCTGGATACGGGACTGTCAGAGAAATTTCAACCGATATCTGATCTTACCCTGGAGCAAGCTATTGAGAGCTAGACAGTCTGAGCAAGTAAAACAACAGATGAAAGATCAGGGTGTGTCAACAAAACATGTCGAGAGTGTCCATCAAGGTCAAACTGGTCAGCGTGTCAACAAAGGTCGAGGTCGCGGTCAAGGCCGTGGTAGGAGTAGTTACCGTAGTGGTGGTAATTATGAACCCCATAAACCAGGTAGATATAACAATTAGCAAAATTCGAAATGTAATAAATGCAATCAACGTCATCAGCAGGACCGTTGCTATGCAAAAGGGAAGCAATGTTGGCGTTGCCTAGGTTACAACTATTTCGCGGTATGTTGTACTAGCACTCGCGCCGATGTCCAGGAAGTAAATGAAACTGACCCGGATAATAAATTTTTCCTCGGAAGAGTCGCATGTAATGACGACGATGGAGAATAATTCTTAAACTGTGTGGTAAAATTGTCAATTTTTAGATTGATTCTGGAGCAGACACTTCTTTTATGAACGATGATGTGTATGATTCATTGAAACACCCATCCAAGTTGGAACCACTGAAATCTTCTCTTTATGGACCAGGCACAGATAGCAAATATAAGTGCAAAGGACATTTCATGGGTGAAACCGTGCACAAAGGTAAACGGTACTCATTTCCGGTTCATGTTATTGAAGGTAGGAGCAACCTAGTGGGTCGTATTGCGGCACATACCCTAGGTTTGATTCAGAAACTGGACAGTATTCAAACGAATGTGTTTGGGAGTTTTGGGCTTTTGTGAGTCTGTGAAGATTACACTGCGCAATGATGCTACTCCATATTGCCTTACTACTGCCCGCCGAGTCCCATTTCCGCTTATGTCGAAAGTTGCCGAGGAATTATCGAGAAAATCCAACGCCCTACTGACTGGTGGTCCCAGTACTAAAGAAAGATGGAAACGTGCGTGTTTGCGTTGATATGAAAAAGCTAAATGGGGCCGTAAAACGCGAACACTCCATGTTGTCCAACTTAGATGATATCGCACCAAAATTGGCTAGAGCGACTGCATTCTCCAAGCTTGACGCTTCAAGCGGGTTCTATCAGATTTCATTACATTCAGACAGTTGTGAGGTAACAACATTTATTACTCCGATGGGCCGATACTGCTTTACGCGGGTACCCTTTGGTATCACCAGTGCAAATGAGATTTTTCAACGGAAAATGACCGAGTTGATTACCGGATTGGACGTTACGGATGTCATTATCGACTATGTGTTGATATCCGGAGCCAATCGCGAGATACATGACAATCGTCTCAAAGATGTTCTTCGTAGGATTCAGGATTCCGGGTTGAGGTTGAACCGTGACAAATGCGAGTTTCGGAGGAGCGAGGCGGAAGATTTCGGGCATAAGGTTAGTGCAGAAGGCATTAGTTCGACGGAGGATCCAGTTCGCGCAATCAATGAAATGCCTGCACCAACTTACATTGCCGAGCTACGCCGATTGGTTGGTATGATTAACTATCTGGGTAGATTCGTGCCAAAACGTGCGTCCGTAATCGGTCCGATGACTGACTACTGAAGTCTGAGAAAGAATGGACATGGGAATCGTCACAGCAAGGGGCTTTCAAAAAGGTTAAATCTGTACTAACTAATAACCCAGTACTCACATTCTATGACGAAAATCAGCCACTTGTCGTCAGTGCTGATGCCAGTAGCTACGGAGCCGCATTATTTCAACAGGAAGACGATATGTTGAAACCGATAGCCTTCTGTTCGCGAAAACTTATCAACACCGAGATGAAGTATGTCCAGATCGAGAAAAAGTGTCTCGCCTCACTATGGGCATGTGAGAAGTTTTCTCGTTATCTCATTGGCCAAGGTTCATTTCGCTTACTTACGGATCACAGGCCGCTTGTACCGCTTATGAACACTCAGGACTTAGACAAAGTTCCGATTCGTTGACAACGTATGCTTATGCGCCTCAGAGGTTACAATCTGAAAACTGAACATGTGTCAGGTATTATCTCGATGTCCGATTGACGAAGTGCGTAGCGATTTCCAGGACAAGATCGAGAGTTATGTCGACTCTTGAAATGTCACGTCCCATTGCCGACAAACGATTACAACAGATCAACAAAGCTACTGCTAATGATGGAACACTACAGGAAGCTATGAACAATACCCGGTATGGATGGCCGACACACATCAGTGATGTTCGTACAGAGCTTCGTGACCACTTTGTTGCACGCTATGAACTGTCCGTATCGCATGGCTTGTTACTATACAGAGATATAATCGTTATTCCGGAGGATATTCGGGAAGAAATCCTTGAAAGTCTTCATGACTCAAAGCCTCTTCGACTGTATGGTGGCCCGGAATAGTCAAGGACATTCAACACAAGATTGATACGTGTAAATTTTGTCAAGTGAACAAGCCGTCACAGCACCGGGAACCGATGAAGTTCACACCTTTGCCTCTCCGGCCGTGGCAAAAGTTGGGAATGGACTTGTGTATATCGCTAGGGAAACAGTATCTCGTTGTCACAGACTACTAATCACGTTTCATTGAACTTGCTTACCATGAAACGACGACTAGTGCTTTTGTCATCGGTAAACTCAGAAACATGTTTTGCCGATGGGGAAATCCGGAAGAAACAGTATCCGACAACGGGACTCAATTTGTCTGTGAAGAGTCCATGGTATTTGTGGAAAAATATCAATTCAAGCAAACGTTATCTAGTCCGCATTATCCGCAATCGAACGGGGCTGTAGAGAGCGGAGTCAAATTCGCGAAACGAATTCTGAAGCAGGACGATGTATTCAATGTTTTGATGGATTGTCGGTCAACACCGATCGAAGCTGCAGCAGTAAGCCCTGCTGAATTCTTGATGTTTACGAAAATCATTACATGTGTTCCGATAATACCTAAAATATCCACTTTTGACGATCCGGCGGATCATGACGTCATACTTACAAATTCGCCGGTGGTATCCCGTGATCCGGTGAACACCCCACGGACCAAACCACCGGACAGTCCATTAACCAATTCCGACAAATCCAATGTCGTGTCCACCAGAAGTGGTCGGGTTAGCTTTAATCCCTGGAGACTTGAATATTATGTAACCTAGTAACTGGTTTAAATTTGTGTTAAGCGTTAAGCGATTTATTTGTGTTATTGACTGGAAGTACCAGATAAATTTTGGACATTCAAGTGTTAAACTGTACGATTATTACATGAACTGTGTTCGAAGATAAATCAATATGAATTAATGGATTTGATTTGATCTTTCACACCTAAATGTTTAGTCAGTGTCTTTGCATGTTCTTTGGTTAACTATAATAGTGAAATTGAACTGTGTTGATTTTGTTGATTCGCGTTTACCTCGGTAGTAAATTAAAATTTTGGGATTTGGTTTCCCTGAATGTTGTGTGTACTGTATATGTGACGTCTTTGATTTTTGGTAGTTGATTCCGACCTGAAATAAACACGTGTGCAGTTACGGAGACTATCTCGAGGCGTATGCCAGAAACAGTTATTCGTTGGAATGACTCGTCGATATTTTCTCAAACCGATTTTTAATATCACCTTGGCAAATTGATCGGAACAATTATACAGGTAACATAGTGTTTACAGTTAAAGTGACTATGGTATCCTTGCTAGAGACTAGCGCCGACACTTGATTGTGTTGAAGTCACGGTCATTTCTTTTAAGAAACTTTGTCAGGTTTTATCAAAGGAACCTTCCAGCAAATTATTATGCTTCTCTACCATATATTTTTTTTAAAGAAATCGTGTTATGAACATAGTTAACTGTGGACGAATGATGGTCGAATATCGAAGTTGATTCTGCAGAACATCATTCCAGTATAGATACTTGCTTTGAAATGAAAAAAAAACCAATTCAGGAAATATTGAAGTAATCGTAATTTAGATCTTACAAGGACGGTATAGCAACATGGCAGATGGTCGTCGGATTGTTTGAATTAAGGCTGAGTGTGGAAAAAAACAGTTTAGCATGAATGTCGGAATAACATGAAGGATTCTTAAGTCTTTCCTTACTAAATTAGGTTCACATCCAACATCGAGGACTTATCAGGTTTTGTATAATTCTTCTGTATTTTATTAATACTTTACAAATCCATAACCGTTTTTATATGTAACTGATAAATTTATTTTGTGTATGCAATGCCCGATTGGTCGTAACAATGGCGCATAGGACGTATCGTCTTGAAGTTGTTCAGGTAGGTTTTTTCTAGAGAATTTGTTGAAAGTCGAAGGGCCTTTGTTTATGATAAAACTCTAAATCTTAGGTAAAACAAGGGATTGTGTAGTGGCCCAAAACGAGGATTCTGCTCAGATATGTTTTATCACTAGTGCAATGGCTGAAACTACCACAAATACGTTTTGTTACATTTTACACTGATATCCAAACAGTATATTGTGTCAGAGCACGTATTTACCAGATAATAAAAGGGTAATTCCATATTCTTTTGTTTTAGAGTGTGTTGCGGGGTTTCATGGTAACACCTGTAATGAGGAATGTCCCGCCAGTTGTTCGAATGGTCTATGTGATATGGATACCGGAATGTGTTATAGTAAGTCATTATTAGATCATTTTCTAAAGATCAGTTAATAAATTGATAAAATTGTTAGCAATGAAGTCGTTCGATTAATGAGATCCGTTTGCGACTGGACCCAACCTTTGTTTTATTGCATTTGAGTTTGGATTATGATTGTATTGAAATGATGGTATAAACTGTTGGCGATATATGTTTGTACCAACGAAAACAACAACATTAACAGAATTTCAATTTTATTATACATACCGTATAGACGGTTTTATTCACCAGTGGCCAAATGTCTAATATCAATGTGGTAATTTTTATTTATGGAGAAGGGGCAACTTCACACAATTTTATCTTATGCTTTTAAAATCCCGGTTACGACACCAAACGACGAAATTCGTGGGGAAAACCGTTGTACAGTATGTTATTTCAAGAGAGTTTCTCATTAAACGATGACACTATTTCTGCAACATGTTCTTTCCCCCAATTACGCCGATAGACCACATGCTTTCACGAGTATCAAACTCATTCATGATGCAACTGAATTGTTTTCAGTATTTCAAAATTAAATTCATCATTTTCATATCAGTAGTCTTGTTCACTTTTATCATCGCACTTTGTACATTGTCCGTTTTTCTTTCCATCCGTTTCAGTCCTTCAACAATTATTGTTGTCGCTATCTATTGAAAATTCTTTAATAATTGATCATTCTCAAAATACATAATGATGTTCCTTTTATCCTTTTGCATTCTTGGTAACGATCGGAAAATTAAAATGGTTGATGATAAGCGATCCTCTTGGATTTTAACAGTTGTAAGGGCTATTTCTTGAAGTTCGCCATTGACCTTTCTCTAATTTCATCTGTTGGTATCTTTTGGTACCCGTTTGTGACTTTTTGGTTTTGGGACTTCTAGGTCTTTCTAGGACTCGTTAGGGATGTTAATGGCTTGAAGTTTGACACCTAGGAGGAGGTGATTGAGGAAACTCTCAAGTGACCAAACAATATCGACTTCTAGAAGCGGTGCACTACCCCAACAACTTAACAGATTCCTTTATTTCCTAAGTGAGGCCAATATAGAACAACTTTATTTATTCAGACTGGACATCGAACAAATGATTTTGATTAAGACTATGGACAACTCAGTTGATGCTTTGAATCTCGTGTTTTTCTTAAATGTCATGTAGTATGCCTACATTGTTAACTTCAACTTCATAAGAAACAACGATTATCTATTAAACAATTGGATAACGTGACGTTATTTTCAGGCTGCAATGATGGATTCCACAGCCCTCTCTGTGTGCCATGTCCAATTGGCTGTAGCAATAGCACGTGCGATACCATGTATGGAAATTGTTCACGTAAGCAGTTTTATCAGTGCGTTTGCCTGATCTTAACTAGAGGGGTAATAAATTTCAACACGGATATCTGAATTAACTCCACTTTAGCATTGACAATCGTCTGTAGTTCTACTGTGAATTATGAAACGTATTTTTATTTAACTGATATTTAGGCAAGTTACGACTGGAGTTTTTTGTTCGAATCCGTTACTCGGAATAACACGATAAAGACGTGTCATTCTTTTAAATTTGATCACTGCTCATGAAATCGGTAATTAAACCCTGAACGTTTTTATCATATTACTGCATTGTTCATACCTAATGCAAAGGTCGGCTTCAACGTCTACAGGCAAGTACTACATATATATCTGTTAATACTTTATTTTATGTTCCAGGTTGTATTGCAGGGTATTACAGCAACACATGTAGGGAAGAGTGTCCAGCTAACTGTACTGATGGCCTTTGTACCATGGATACTGGGATCTGTTATGGTACGTGGCATTATGTCTATTTTGTTACCACTCATTGCTGTCTAGCACACTACATGATTGTCAATATTAAAAAAAACAAACGTAGTTTCCATTGCATTGGCAATATGAGCTCGTTAACGTTAAATTTTACATTACATGTACATTCTTGTTATATAATTTGATAAAGATATGTTATTTTAACTGACAAAAGCTTACTAGCGGTGACGAGGTGTCCGTCCATAAAAACTTCCTTCAGTAGATCTTGTTGGTCGAAGGTAATGATATATAACATTCACCTTTACGGTTTAGCAACATGATAATGTTTGAGATAAATAAAGACCTTGAATTAAGTTACAGGAGAGTGGTCAAACTCGTAAATAAAAAAATACTCGAACGGTTTGTGAATAACCGAAAAGCATTGGCTCACGACGTTTCTGAAACTGTTTTCTTGGGGCAGCTCTACATAAGAGGCTTAGGGGCGTAAACGATTACCAAAGGAATTGAATGTGTAGTATAAAGAGGAGAAAATCAAAAATACCATGTTTACAAGGACAGACGAGTTTTACCTTAAGACCACTCCGTCCATGAGATTAGGTTCTATCAGTTTTGGGTATTAAACAGATTTGTGAAATTTCATTTAATTTGACCTTTTTTCGCCACGCCCATCAGCCCCTGGGGGTCATCCAGAGTCAATATGTGCAACAAATTGTCATTCTATACGATCAATTCTATTCAAATAAGTTAAATAATTTCCCGTATAAATGAATAAATCATGCATAAAAATAGAATTTGCCGATAATAACCAATACTAAAGGTTACCCCCTCTTTCTCATTTAGAACATGGCACTGCTTGGCGGAGGTCGTTAAAGACTTTATTTCCCATGACATATCGCCGTGTTATCGTTTCACTTTTCAATCGCCTTCGCACTAATACGCAAATTATTTCACATTTAACCTTCTTTTTACCTATTTTGAGCTTGAAACAATATATTCATCATCACAAGGGTAAAAACTGTATTCACTAGTGACCGTGCATCACACGGCCGATTGACATCTAACACAACAAATTTATCCAACGGGCGAACCAGTTCTCATGAATCCACTCAATGTTAAACGACAAATAAGGAGTGCGAAGTTCCATTTAATTTTGTAGACACCGTTAACACAAAAAAGGGTGAGGTTGTGTGAAGACGGACTCTGGGTATTGTTATTATCATATTCTTAAAGGTCATACTAAAAGGTAAAAGACAAATGCTAAACATCTGAAATGGTTTTATTATCATAATTTATTTAAAAGGTAAGTCATAGTCTACAATATGGACCATCATCATAACCTAAATAGTTTCAAAAAGGGTCTTTAGACGTTACAATAAAAAGTTTCTCGAGTAGACAGAAGGTCCATGCAATCCAATAAAACAAGTTTAAAGGTGAAAGGCTCGTCACATCCTTTTTTAGGATTATCTTCGCCATTCACCATACATGAATGCGTAATGAATGTATGGCCCATCAGAAAAGTATGAAAAGACAATAATCATATTTAGTTTAATCTGTTATACGATGGAGAGTGCAATGTAATAATGTATACATTAGCTTAAAAGGCTGTCTGATAAACAAAATGTGCCTTCGTTGTGATAAGAATAAACTTACACCTGTTGTCCATTGAACTCGAGATATAGTAATACCTATTGATGACCACTATAGTCTTAACACAATAACGACACTGATCTTTATACACCAGCGTGCGTACCTGGCTACCATGGAAACAAATGCTCAGAGAAGTGTGGACACTGTAAAGGTGGAAGTTGTGACAAAGACACCGGGAAATGTATGACACTGTGTGAAGATGGATATGCTGGCGACAAATGTGACGTCGAAGGTACTAACATCGTAGTTACATTTACACAACACAGATTTATGGAGAGCATCGGTATATTGATTCCAATCCTCCGTCACTGAGCTGTTAAAAATTGTTTGATAATAGGTTTAAAATCAGTAAAATGAAGTTTAAAAACAATAGTTGGTAGCAATAAAGCTTCCATTGCGGCACGATCTGTTTTTCCCCACATTTCCTGGTATTCCCATGTGCCCAGGAACCAAGCAAAAGGCAAGGTCATGAAATAGTATTAATGTATTACGAATGAAAATATTTTCGATATTTCTATTGCTAAGACTTTTTAGTACAGAAAGAGAGTCTGAATGGATCACAGCTCTCATTACTTCGTTGTGACCTGGTTTTGATGCTGGTTGAGGATTCTGACTTTGTTTTGATGGTGATGGTGCTGGTAGTGATGACTGTGTAGAAGCAGACTTTGATGCAGCAGGCCGTGGGTCGGAATGACTGTCGCACACCATGTCAGTCTGTGACCCTGCATCACATGTCTGTGTAGCAGTATCACTGGTCTGCATGGTCGTATTACCAGACTTTGCACGACTGACATAGGATGGACCCGATACAGGCGTTTCAACAAAATCCCTTGCCTTAGGAAAAGTAATATTGTTGGTATACTTGACGCGAAGGATATCATTTTCCTTGCGCCAAGCAGAACAATCTCTGGAATATGCTGATTTCCTCCCACCACAGTTCGTACAGTGAGCTTCACCATCAAAAGCACCACTGCTGACCCATCTTCATGGCCTACAACTGCTTCTGTTGCATTATTTTGATCAAATTATTAAATATCCAGGTTAGCGATACAGTCACCATGTGCCCCATCGCTAATAAATGCATACATCAAGCTAGACTTCTTTTGTTTGGTGTAATATGTGAATATTCATAGATTTTGCAACCCGTACTAATCCTGGTGAGTATACCTTGCTAAGTGTTATTAGATTATTATTAATGAATCACACTCAGTGGGCATTAAATAATTGACGATATTTTTATGGTTTGTATTTGCAGTTATATATAGATATATATCAAGGACTGGAAACAGCTGCGGACACACCACACTCTCGGTCGGGCTAGGATGTGGAGTTGCCATCCTAGCTCTTTTACTTGTGATAATTGTACAGGCGAAACGAAAACATTCACAGCGCCAGACAGACGATTGCCCCATAGCAAACGTGGGCCTCAAGGATATTGAGAAGTTTCTTCAACCAGAAACAGGTTTGTTTAATATTCTCCTATTTTCTTCGTTTGATGTTTCCGTCTTCACGCCAGCCAAGGTTACAAAGTCCACAAATGACAAGGCCACTTATAGTGTCATCGCCCTAAAAAGACATACTTTGAACATGGTGGTATGACACCCAAATATAGTAAGATATATCAACAACAGGACTTATCCTTTCGCATGGAATTCAATTCCAAGCAAGAAAATTATCACCTTTAATGTCTTTTATTAACACTCATCAAATAGGTCTTCAGGAAAAAAGAGAGCGATAACAATTCCACGTAAAAAGATTTCAGAATTCAGAGCATTGTTCCGAAGTCTAAGAATGCATGGCTGTTTTGAAATTTATGTCGGTATATCCTGTTTACAACATCGATCGACTTCGTAATAGTCATTATATTTTGAATTACTAAACACGTGGAAAGCAAGGCAACAAATTACATTTTCATCACCATGAACTGAATATTGCTACATCGGACATAAACAATCTGGCATCGTGTTCCCTTTCAAACTAAAATGAATTGTTCAATATTCAAGTGATAAAAGCACCTCTTACTACATCAGATGACAATTAATGTCAATGGAGAAACACTGAACACGGAATTTCGTAATATAAGTAATAGAAATCATGAGATATTTCATCTTTCTGTACACAACATCTTGAACAACATTTCCGCTAATTCACATTTACATCAAAATGTTGCTTGTTACCTATATTACTTTATATAATACCAACTAATGTTAGAATCTTATCAAAAGTAATATTAGTGGCTTTGAAAACACGTCAAAATCTTATCAGTTTGCAAGTTTCAACTGTAGCAAACAAAAACAAAATGTCAAGCATTTCACGTCTGAGATTCCAATTTTATCGGGGAAAGTCAACCAACATTAATATTTCAAGAGGCTCAAGTTGTAAACTGTCAAGTTGTGAAACTCTAATTTAAAAAATGGACAAAGTCTCAAGAATGCTTCCAACATGTCTCCCTGAGATGTCATTACTTTCTGGTCCTCACATGTGAGGAAGTGAGACTTGATAGTTTCAGTCTTGTTTGGAAACACGTTTGGGTATCTCTGGGTATACAAATGCGCGTAAGTAACTGTTATTCCGTCATAGTCCGGTGGCAGATACCAAGTTTTTTTTGTTGTTTCTATATCTCTGATATGTGCCCTTTCAAAATCTGTATGGTGCCACTCTGTCATTCTTGGGCAATCCGTACAATATGCAAATGCAGGCAGTCATTACTGAAAATCTTGTTTTTATCAATTTCCTAGTAACAATGAATGGTATCGAAATAATTTTGGTGTCTATCTCCAGGTTTTGAGGGGTGATGAATCAGAATAAATCATTTCAGTAAAGAATGCACCAATAACTTTATGCTGAATAGACATATTGAGGCGACCATTACTGAAAATCTTGTTTTTGTCAATATCTCAATAATTACATGTGGTAGCAAAATAATTTTTGTGGTCATACCTATGTTCTTAGGGGTAAAGTATCGGATTAGGCTATTCCAGTATTGATCACAACTGTATTTTCTGCAAAGATTGGACAATCAACTTTAACGTGTATGTGAATCGTCAAAGAACATTCCAATTACTTGCGTTGATGTACGTTGTCAGTCAGAAACATTGTCGCTGTCATCAACACGTCGGGTGTGCTCATTCTGGCAGTGTACTTCCCCTTGGCATAAACAAAACATTGTGCACGGCAGGTGAGCTTTGAAGCATCCACACATTATTGTCGATTAGGGATTATCCGTAGCACAGCCACACCTTATCACTTCCAGCACCTCCGATGGAGCAACACTAATGTCTGGTTGCACTGTTAATTGACTCAAGCATCGGGTACGGTCGTCATGTTCCCATCCTAACTGGACAGGATCAAATGCTGGAGTTTCGAAATCAAAAGCAGACTTCCAAATGGCAGTTTGAATGTGCGCCCGCATTATATTCTTCTTGAACGCCTCTTGGGAAAGTGGGAGTGACTTGAGCTCTGCAGCCTTTGTTACGTTTTTTCTGCCCATCCTTTTTTATCAGAACTCTCCCCGGGCCTCAGACATGTTCGACGTGACAGAGCCTTTGACCCCGTAGCATGCAGCCATGAATGATGTTACTTCTTGAATTATGTCACCCATGTCCTCAGATAGCACACCCAATTTCTCCAGTGCTATATAATTCTTGAGAACTTTGACGACTGTGCTTTTTCCTATTCCGAAGCACTGAGCGACAGTGCCACAGCCTGAAAGGCAGTTGTAAGAGCAAGTGTCCATGTTCATTCGCAGTGGTCCCAATGCGCTTGGTCCTTCCATTGTAAGACAAGTCAAGATCAATCTGGAAGGTTGTGAAACTACCGCTTATGGCATTTGTAACAATGTTTCCGATGAGAGCGGCTGGTAAAGTGTGGTCCAACTTTATGGAAAGTTGGACAGAAATGAAACACAGTCAAGGGCAATGTCCATATTGACTCTGGCATGATACTTCTTTTCATCAACTAATGATTCATTTACATCATTGACAATCTGGTTGGCATTTTTTTCCAGTCCTATCTCAACATCATCTTCATCACTGCTCGGCACTAGCCTCAACAACGTTGATGCTTTACATTGAAACACAAGAAGACTAGCAACACCGGTGCCACTTAGCACGAGAAGATCCGAACCGAGTTATTCTAACAACCTGGAGACTAAAGTTCGGCGGCTAATGCCTTCTCCGCCATTTGACTGGTGTAGGTCGTATAATTCGATGGAATTCCACACTCACAATGATTCTGCTCTCCGTGTATTTGACTGTCGTTTCAAAAGCCACATCCACCTCCGCTTGAATGCTACTAGATGCTGCTGAAGATGACTTCACTGACCGTGATGAACAGAACTTCTTATAGCAGTCTATATGGTATCTACCATCGGCTGCATGCAGATCACGCACTGCCCCAGTCAAACGTGTCTCTACTTCGTGTCCCCAGTTGTCCTTACGGAATCTGCAGATACCTGGAAGGGTTTCCTTATAATTTTTCCTCCCCACAGCACGGCCTGCTGTCCTGCATTGAACAACCCTTCTCCACAGATCTGGATGCTTTGGATCAATGTCCACAGAAACGGCAATGTTGTCTGAAGTTGAAGGTTGTCGGTCCGGACCGACGCAGACGTTTTACTGCAAATGTCTTATTCAAGTGCCTCTTGGTGTGAGTTTTGGATGTATTTATAGATTCACAGTCTCTATGACAAAGTACCTCTAAATGTTTGTCTGCAGAAAGTCTAGTTTCGAGATCATGGAGAAAATTACATCTCCGTTTACTTGATTCAATGATAGTCTGTATCCTATCAGTGCTTGCAAAAAGAAGTTCCTTTCATCACTAAAGTCAGCCTTGGACATACATTTTTGTTTTTATTCTGATCAATATTTGCTGATCAATTACTGAAGGTGAAACAAAGAAGAAGTCTGAACTCAAGTTATCTAACAAATCTCTTTATACGATGTCCGAGTTCTATATACAATCTGAACGACCTGTTTCTCCACCTTCAGTTTATGTAGTTTGGATGATCCTGTCAGCATGGGGTACACTTGGACGCGGTTCAACGTCTCATCCGAACAACGGTGCTGCACACGTGGACATGGCTTAACGTATCATTCGAACAACAGTGCTGCTGTTCGTCTGCTCCTTCACCTTCATATAGGATTTTCAGCTCAATACACCCTGTCAGCTTGGGTAAGTCTGTAAACGTAGACGCGGTGTCTCATCAGAACGACGGTGCTGCGGTTTGTCTGTTCCTTCCCTTTCATATCAGTTTAGGCGCTTAACTATCAGAACAGTTTCTGCTTTATATGGTCGTTACAGCTGCGATTATCAATGATGGAGGTCCTCATTTGCACGTTTCGCTGAAAACAGTTGTTTTTTCAGTAAATTTAAGATTTTCAGTAATGGCGGACTTTATTTGCTTTATGTACGGATTGCCCAAGCATGACAGTGTGGCATCATACGGAAGAGCACACTTTAGAGGAATAGAAAAGGCAAAAAGTCTTTGTACGTACCGCATTGCAAGGTTCTCCAAAAATTACAAAAACCTGAAAAGAACGAAACTAAAAATGTCTGCACGCACTTCCTTTGATAAGATTACCGGAAGTTGTTTTAAGAGAACATATCAAAAGCATTTTGAACAATAGTAAACAAGTCCTGGCGGCTTGAAATAAACATGCTATCTTTTTTTCCAGTCGATATCCAGGATGTCTTGGTTCCATTGTAGAAGACTGCTACACCGCCACGATGTTTTATCTCGAAATGTCAACTATCAAATTGAAAGAATAATGGGAAAAAGATTACCTAAGAGACGATCCTGTTGGCGGTGCATTTCCTTTTTTTAGCCTTTCAACTGTATTTTAATGAATACAACGCATGATATGTTATTAAGTATATTATCTTGAACTACCGTTTTTACCTAAATAAAACACGATAAAGGACGTTTTTAATAATATGAATATTGCCATCTGAAGCGATGAGAAATGAATCATGGTGTACGATTCTGAATGGTTAGTTGTCTATTTGATTTGGAGAAGAAGGGTTTATGAACAAATATTGTTCCTTAAGATGGATTTCCCAGCCAAATTTATATATTTTATATAGCCAATCACTACGACATTAATCCAGATTATACACAATAATATTGAACGTGAAATATATAGCTTGGTTACGATGAGTTTATAAAATTCTGTTTCCAACTTCATTAATGTTTGGAAATTCTGTATTGTACATGCAATAACATTTTCAGATTATAAGCTTATGGTGTTTATCTTTTCAAAATGTGACATTGTGAAATACTTCTGTGTTTGAAATAGTTCTGTGCCTCGTGGTGTTTGTTCTGCCTCGTGTAGATGTTGCTTTATCATGGGACAGACAGATAACAGAGCTCCTCAAGATAATACTCAATATTTATTGGATCCCGTAAAACTACAAAGTATGAATTGTAAATCACTTTTACCATTTGATGTACACAAAGTATAAAATGTCTGTTTCAATTTTCACAATTAAACTTTATCAAATTATTCTAAACTGTCCTTGTCATTCATTCCATGTAAATGTTTACCAAATGATATATTCAACTATAATTATATCTGATTCGCTTTTACATTACATTATGTCCATATCAAATATGAATGAACTTATGGTTTCGCAAATTAATATCACTGATAATCGGATTTACATTTGGCAACAATATCATTTATATATCATTAAACTTACACTGGTTGGGCCTACAATTACAGTAAGGAAGTGATTCTCCGGATACAGTGCAGTAGAATGGCACTAGGTACACATGTACACTGCAATTAACATAAACAGACTAAGAATATGAACACAAATGAATACCGTATCTACTCAATACTAAACCCAAATCACACACAGAATTATGTGACAATATTTGCACTGAATTGTCATAAACGCTCAATGAAATATGTGCCATTATGTACACATCTGCTAAACAGAATTGGAAAATGATAAACAACACAAAAGCACGGAATCTTATTGTGTAAACATAGCCAAAGACCAGGGCTGTCAACAGGGTAAGTACGGTAACATGTGTACGTGATGTAAACAACTATAACGTTTATATCAAACATCATGACAGGGGCTGACATTCTATTGAAATCTTAAATACTGTCATTAGATTCCTATTACTGTTCACAACGTTCATGAATATTTATCAAGACGCCGCAAATAGATCGACAAGGTTCTCCGTATATGAATGCAATGTTAGGAACGAAACGTCTTGTTAGTGCAAACTGCGCCTGAATGACCGAAATATGCAGAATACTGAAATTGACATGAGTTTCTGCTTATACACAAAGGTAAATGGGTCATTTCTGCATATTACTGTTGTCATGTACTAAAACTTACACCATGCGTCAACCTGCTCACAAACAAGTCACAGCTTTTCAATCAGGAACCAGGCGATATTTGTGGTGTGGGATGTCGCACATGCAGGCGATATTTGTGATGTGGGATGTCGTACATTCAGGCGATATTTTAGGTGTGGGATGTCGTACATGTAGGCGATATTTGTGGTGTGGGATGTCATATATGCAGGTGATATTTGTGGTGTGGGATGTCGTACATGTAGGCGATATTTGTGATGTGGGATGTCATATATGTAGGTGATATTTGTGGTGTGGGATGTCGTACATGCAGGCGATGTTTGTGGTGTGGGATGTCGTACATGCAGGTGATATTTGTGGTGTGGGATGTCGTACATGCAGGCGATATTTGTGATGTGGGATGTCATATATGTAGGTGATATTTGTGGTGTGGGATGTCGTACATGCAGGTGATATTTGTGGTGTGGGATGTCGTACATGCAGGTGATGTTTGTGGTGTGGGATGTCGTACATACAGGTGATATTTGTGGTGTGGGATGTCGTACATGCAGGTGATGTTTGTGGTGTGGGATGTCGTACATACAGGTGATATTTGTGGTGTGGGATGTCGTACATGTAGGCGATATATGTGGTGTGGGATATCATACATGCAGGTGATATTTGTGGTGTGGGATGTCGCACATGCAGGCGATATTTGTAATGTGGGATGTCGTACATACAGGCGATATTTGTGGTGTGGGATGTCGTACATGCAGGCGATATTTGTGGTGTGGGATGTCATATATGTACACTACAGCATTTGTATTCACTTTATTCATGCATAGGATATTAATAATACCATACTACTGACTTGCGGTTGGCAACTAGATATATTGACTTGTTAAGTTGATGAGATAATGAGGCGTGTGAAATATATCAATTAAATGATAAAATGTGATAAAGACATTTACAATTAAACTTTAACAAGCATTGTAGTATTGCGTACATGTATTTAAGCTCTGCCAACTTAATAAACATCATTATTTTAGTGCATAACCAGGGACTGCGTGATATTGTGATTTGATCAAGGTTTAAGCATGGGTTATACAACTTTATATATATGTGTATAATCTATACAAGACAACCAACAGAGTGCGAGAAGGATCTGCCTGCTTTTACACAATTTGTGATTTTAAACAAGATCGCCAAATCATGAATAAATCTATGTGAATCTGTTTAGTCCATTCTTGCTAGTAAGTGATGCTAAGGCCCTATAGTGTTGAATCTAGGCCAATGGAGCTAAAGAGCTCTATTTAAGTTTTTCAAGTGTTGAAACTTGACAAAGGGAGATAAACCCTAAATTATGCAATGTTTGGCTTTTTTATACCGCCATCTGACTACACGTGCTTTATGTAACAACAAACTATTCGAATGCATAAAGTAAGTTCAATACTTCCAAAACTGAGCACAAAATTGTCGTTTTCAAAACTACTTTTTATGAAAATCATGTTGTTAATGGTATTAAATGATCAATCACAAAATTATATAAATTCAATATTCAATACATTTCAAAATATAAGTAAACTCAAAGTTCTTCGATTTTAAGGATATCAGTAGGAACGTTTTATATTGAGAAATCAAAAACCAACATCCATGACGATCTGCGTTTACATGTTATCTTTTTTCACGACACTTAATGAATTAAGACTTACGTTACCAGGAATATTAGTTTCATTAGAGGCTTCCAAGAGCATATGATGCATTCCCAAATGTTGGAAGGTGAAGATAAGCCTCGGTGCATAGGATGTGATGAGTCATTCACCGTTAAAGATTTTTTATTGGACTGAGGACTGCATTGACATGACTGTAACATTACAAGTCTGGAGACCCTTTTTGAAACTGTTGAGATCAATACAATTCTAAGTTATCTTAAAGATGTTGGCCTGTATTATAGACTATGACTTACCATTTTAATATTTTCTGATAATATAACCATTTCAGATTTTTAGCATTTATCTTTTACCTTTCAGTTTGTTTGATGTTATTTCCTTTTTTGACCGCTGTGTGTTCTACCGGTTGATGGCCCTAATGACCTTTTATGTATTGACGGGCCATTAAGAATGTCATAATAATAACTTTCCAATGATCGTATTACGATGAACTGGTTGATATCATGGTCATCTTCTAAGTCTGCTGATGAAATACAAGGTCGTTTTTTTTTTTTTTTTTTTCACATAATAATGTGTTATTACCTGAACTCCTCACCCATCTCGGGGTCAAACAAGGGGACACTAATAACGGTATGGATCTCCAGTACGCGAGTGCAAAGAAACACAAGAAGTATACTCGAAAGAATTGACCTTTCTCGATTGACCCTTAAGTCACCGGTTTCTTTTAATTTTTTTTTTTTTTTTTTTTAATTTTAATTTTTGTTTTTACATTCAGAAGTTAGAGAGATTCCAATAGAGTGAAGACAAAATGCGTGAACCACCAAAATACAAAATTTGATTTTTTGCAATGGCTTTTTGAGATTGCAAGTAAGTTACTGGTTTCTTACATACAACTGTAAAATAAAACTTCAAAAATAGATGGACATACGGTTGAGCGATATGAAAAGGAGAAATTGAACACTCCACCCAGAGCTTGGCATGACCAGCCGATTGATCACTGAGGGCCACACTGATCATCTGTCTTACTTTGAGGTCAAAGTGTTGTATTGGAGGAAAGCCATGGATGATTGTCCCTCAACCACCCAGATCATTTCTACCAATACTAACGGAACTCAACCAACAGCAGACAGGTTGCCCCTTTTAGTGGACTGTTACTACATGCAGAAGGACACAGCGGATATATTCTAGCGGGCCTATCCATAAGGAGTAGTAGTTTAAAATACTGAAACAGAAAACAGAAATTGCAATGAAGTGATATATATATTATACCAGCATTGTTTTAGAAAGGTAAAAAAGCATATAAATGTGAACGTATTGGTAGGTATGAAGGTAATTAACTCACTGAGAATATAAATAAGGACACCAATAGTATTGTATATATGATACAGATTATATATATATGTAAACATAAAAGGCCAACAAGGCAAATAAACTTGATTATCGCTAACGTTTTCAAGTCGTGTCTCGGCTACCTTCAGGCGAATACTTTAATGTATTGGTAACAACATTATGACGTAATGTAAACAATAATATATAAGGGGAGATAGCCGAGACACGGCTTAAAAACGTTAACATATTTAAACGGTACACAATGTTCTCATCTAATTGAACCATATATATATATATCATCTAGGAACATAAATATTCTGTCATAAAGAAGGTCAGAAATGAGCTTAAGGCTTATGGGAATAAACGAAAAATTTACAGATAAGTCGACTGACACTATTTCAATATCACGCACCAGCTGGAATTGATTAAAACATGTAATCGTGTTCCTATTACGGTCAATTAACCAATCATTTTAATCATTAATTAAATTTTCTGAAGTTACACGCGGCCTAACTAGAACCTGTATCACGTTACACTAGATCGACCTGTTGACGTTAATGTGTTTGCATTCACTTAGTGTAACACCAACACTGTCATTGTTAAGAAGCTTATCTTCTTCAGTAATTGACAGTGATACTTAGTTGTGCTATATTTTGTTAAAGTGTTAAAAATCAAGATAGTAAAATTGTACAAAACATGCCCAAGTGCTTCATACTTTCCGAAACAAGTTAAACATTTGAAACAAAATGATGAATTAAATTAGGTTAAAAACGTGAAAAACCATCTGTTCAACCAAAATATTCACTTATTACAATAAAGTTGATAAAATGTGAAGTAATTTAAAGAAATGTATATGAATATTCTTCAACGCAAATTAATTTTGAATTCAGAATACAAACAAATATTTTCGTTCCTAGATATCACGTGCCTTTATATATGATCCAAGTAGATTTACCACGAAGTGGTCTGTCTAAAACGCCAGTAAGACACTTGCGAACTTTGTTAATTCTTTATTCAATGTCATGTAATACCGTTACCTTCTTAAATAGTAGCAACCAATACGCTATGTGGAAGTGTGATGATTTCCATTTGGTTTCCATTATATTTCCCATTTAAGACATTCATGTACCCGTTTCCCCATTTCAGACAGTAATGAACTTGTTTCCCATTTCAATACATAGCTGGTTTTCTATGACGCGTTTCAAATATCTCGATTTTCCTGACTGAAATGGAAAACCAACGAAAAATTTATTTGCTTAGAAACTTTGAAGATTCATTTGCAATCTATTACTTTCCGATATAAATTCTTCCTTCAACATTTCTCGTTTTGCCCATTGGTTACATCTACGGGAAATTTGAGTCCAATTTAAGAATATAATGTCTTCAAGTTATTGAAAGGCTTTTGCTTAGGAATCCCGCTTTTGTACACGTCTGTCTTTTTTGTGGATGTTTTTAATGGATGTTTGAGATGAGGGTGATATATAATTTCACTTTCATCTCAAACATCCATTAAAATGTCATCAACTATTAATGACATTTAGAACACGTTGCAGTTTATAAACGCTCCTATTCTCCGTATCCTTTTTCATGAATTTCCTTGTAAATATTTCTTCTGTCCATATTTTCCCGTGGTTTTATTGAATTAAATTGTAGAAAAGGATTGTTGACCAATTAATTTCTAGTTGTTTTTTCAATACACGTTTTGTAAATTACTTCGGAATAGAGAAGCTTAGTTTTGGGAAAGTTGTTGTTTGGGGAATACCTAACAAACGAAGAAGGGAATGTTACAAAGTGTCCATCGTATATAGACATAAATTGCCTAGTCAGCAGTATAGCTATAGGGCGAGTAGCAAACGCATAACTTATCAGTCGACGAAACTCTATCCTACGAAAGAGGAATCATGAGATTACTCTGGGTAGTGAAATTCATATTGCAATATATTATAATAGTCAATGCAGATAATAAGTATGAAAATACGACTGAAAACAGTTTGACTAACGGACTTCTGTTTCTGTTAAATGGAACATTTTTCGATCTGAAAGAAAAAATGTGCAATTTGCAGGGGGATGTTGATGTTTTAGAAGCGGTTGTAAATCGCTACGAATCAGTGCCACGTTCCGATCATTTTAACAACTCCGTGCTAACAGAATTCAAAGAACTGGTTAGAAGACAACTGCAAGCGTTTTCAAAGATACAGAATGGTTTTGAAAACTCGATACGTCTACTTCAGAAGGAACAGGAAGACATATGGGAATTGGTCAATACCACTCGCAGACATCGGGAAATAAATGCTACCAAAGGTAAGAAAAGTATACAAAGTAGCAAACTTAGTCATTTGTCAAGCTGTTTTATTTACATTGAAAATATCAGAATGATCCCTGAAGTTGAACTTATTAACGTATTTATTTACATTATACATTGAAACAAAATCCTAAATCGATGACATAGCTATGTCACACCTAGGCAGATAGCTTGAACAGGTCATAATCTTACACCAGATTTTGTTTTCGTTTTATAGAATAAAGTTAAAATGTATTTTCGTTTATTCTAACAACAGTAATGCGATATCCTATCAAGGACCCGGTCACTCATTTCTGTTAATTCATTAATGCTCTGTAAACGGGAGTGATTAGCCCGAGAGCAATTTGTGTATATCTTTACAGCAGTTTGCCTTTGTATACTTAAATTTATAGTATATTTATATGGCCCTATACAGCACTTTCACCCCTTTGCAGAGATTAATGCAATGAATGAAAGATGGTGTTTTCTCATCTATAAAATACTGAAAAACAACATTAATAATGACGCGTAAATAACATTCACTAGATAAATTATAGATAAACTGACAATTCAAACCGTCACTTATCATTTAGCTGGTTGTAGTGTATTTACATTCAAATCATGTTTTAATGTTTTGTCCATAATTCCCACTGAATCATCGATTTCGAGTTTGCATTAAGCTCAAAATATCAGTAACGTTTTTTGGGCAAATTCTCGTGTTAGTTTTCACGCTTTGAAATTGGTTAAATAACGTGAAACTCCATGAATTGCCAGCTATTTGAAACGTATAGATTTGTTTTAGTTCCCCTTTCCTAGCCTTTAAAAAAGAGATCTGTCAATATTTTAGAAATCCTTTCCTTATCAGCTGACTTTCAGAACAAATTAAGCCTATGGATCATGTACTATACAGAGACACAATGAGGATCATATGATTAGTTTATAACTGTAAAACATGTAATGATCGACTCCTCCGACAGACTTTAAATAGACTCGAGTCATTTGGTTTGACGTAGTACTAGATATGAAAGCAACACTTGATACTATCAATACATCCATATTATTATATCATTTATGTGATATTGGATTACAACGTTTGAGTTGGAATTCAAAATTGTGTAAAAAAAAATGTAATAGATCATATTTGTCGCATGCAGATTTGATCATTTACATATTTTAATGCAGTAAGTTGTGTGAATTTACCGTTACCAATATGGATTGTAAAGGCAGATATTGTTTTACTTGGCACTGTACTTTCTACTGCCGTTTGGGCTGATATGACTTTTAACGTTGCTGAACCTGTAAATATACACCAAACACATTAAACGATGATGACCTTACATGCTATTTTCAGACAAAGGGCTTGGGACTTGTACCGAGGGATGGATAACTGCAGCAAGGAAATGCTATTATGTCTCACAAGATGTTCAAAAGACAAACTGGGAATCGGCAAATGTAAGTATTATATTACGCGTGTATATTCTACCAGAGTTAATACATCAGTTAAGTCAATGATTTGTAATGTAGTATGATAAACGCGAGGTATACTTGTGATGGAGTAAAGAGAAACAACGGTTGCCATAGTTGTATATTTCTGTCTACAAAAATCATAATAACTTCGATAAATGCCATTTCCGTGAACCAAGGAGGAATCCTAGAAGGATAAAGCAGAAGTATGATGCACTTTTTTCATTATTTAGGTATAGTGTAATTACTATTTATCACTTGTGTTTTACTATGCTTGATTATTCAATCATTATACTGAGTAATATATTACAGTGTACATTAAACTACAAATGTTTTTGAACAATTTAACGGCGGAAGCGCGAGCTATCTACCTCGCCCTTGAATATATGTTATTCATTCAGACTCTCTTTCTGTACTACAAAGTTTAAGCAATAGAAATATCGAAAATGTTTCCTTCGTAATACATTAATACTATATCATGAACTTGTCTTTAACTTTCGTATTGCTTTTGCTGGGTTCATGGACAAATTGAAATACCAGGCAATGAAAAAGCAGATCGTGCCGCAAAGGCAGATTTATCGCTACCACCTTTTTTTTTTTAAAACTTCATGTTACTGATTTTAAACCATTTATCAAGCAATCTGTAACAGCTCCGCGGCAGGAGAAATGGAATCAATATACCGATAATAAATTGCATTCCATAAAACCTATTATTGGTGAATTATCTCCATGCTCTAGAGAAAACTCCGAGACGAAGTTGTCTTTGCCGGTTTTCAGACGGAAACAGGAGCATTTCGATCTTGTGGTGGCAAGGAATTCTTTCAAAAATCACATCGACTTTTGTATTGCTGGTTCACTTTCCCATCAGGAACGAAGAAGAATGATGCAATTACCTGATAATCTGGATCGGGGATAAAGGTAGGGATATATCGCTATCTGGACATTAACAGATGACGCAAGAAAAAAATCTCAAGACTTTGTTAGACAAGTTTGAAACACATGTCCGCCCAAAAACAAATACGATTGGTTTACGATAAAAAGTCCAATGTAGGACCTGGCGTGAAGGGGAAACCTTAGAACAATTACTTACTGACCTGCATATATTAGCTCGCGACTGTGCATATCAAGAAAAGGAAAATATAATCCGCGATGGTATTTGGAACTCTTGACTAAAAAGTACGCGAAAATTTTATAAATCAAGGCTCAGAGCTTACATTAGACAACACGGTGTACTGCACCAAAACCTACCAATTGTCAAAGGCAACATTACTGAAAATGGAAGACAAATCGGTCAACGCTATCGAGAAAGGGACAGGCAGTAACACGAAAGCCAATTCGCACTCGAACGCGCCGCCAAGGGCAAAGCGAGGTTACAGACAAGACGGTTACACCGGTGATACAATCCCGCGTACAGTTACCATTGCTCTACAGGTCTAGTGACTGATTTAACCAAATGGTAAGCTTAGTCTGTGTATCGACCCATGTGACCTGAACAAATGAGACAGCGGGAGCATTACCCCTGAACAGTGGAGGTGATGGTCTCACATGCCAGGTACTAAAGTATTCAGTAAGCTGAATCTCACCTCTAGATTTTGGCAGCTTACACTGGATGAAGATAGTTTAAAACTATATTCTGTAAATACACCATGTAAGCGATACCGAATTACGCGCTAACCGGCGTGAAATCAGTTCCCGAAGTGTTTCTTCAGCTGGTGACCATGCATGTCAGTATAATGTAAATCTTCGACTGGACAAGTGCATGATTGGACAGTCAGAAGTTTCTTATGTTGGACACCTGCTGACCAAAGATTGGGTAGGTCAAACCGAACCCAAAAGAGATCCGAGCAGTACAAAACATGGAGAAACCAACGAATGTTCAAAAACTTCAAACCCTCATAGGTTTCATACAATACCTGACCAAGTTTATGCCAAGGCTTTCAGAGGTCAGTGGACCACTTAAGATCCTTCTTGAGAAGGAGACAGCTTGGCATTGGGAGGAACAACAGGAGCAAGCATTTCAGACCCTAGTACAGATGATTTCAACTGCACCAGTAGTACAGTAATATGTTAGCAGGACACCATTGACTAGCTGAAGATGCTAGCAGCAAAGGATTGGGAGCAGTTCTTGTACAGATTGATAAACCAGTTGCATATGTCTCGCGGGCACTTACTGAAAAACACCAGTGATATAGTCACAAATCAAGAAAGATACACTGACGATAATGTATGGTCGAGTCCGACCATAGACCCTTACAGACAATTTTGAAGAAGCCCATTCTACAGACACCCCTAAAGTACAGAGGCGCATACTGGCTATGCAAAAGTATGGCATAGAGGTAATAGATAAGCCTGGAAAACTCATGGTTTTGCGGATCACCTGAGTCGAACATTCTTGGAGTAAACCAAGGAAGTGTTGGTCCATGATTTACGGGTAAATGAACTTCATTTAACTGCATACTTACCTGTGTCACCGGAAACGTACAAACTGCCAAGGACATCGAGCTACAAGAGCTACAGGATGTTGTCTTGGAAGGGTGACCGGAAGACAAAGTGTACATACCCTCAGAACTACATCCCTTCTGGACTTTTCGCGATAAAAGATCGTGCATCGACGGGCTCATGTACAAAACGCACAAACTCATTGTCCCTAAATCTATGAAAAATCAGATGTTAGATATCATTCATTCGTCTCCCCTTTGTGTAGTTAAATGCACCAATCGGGCCGGGGACATACTTTTCTGGTAAGGCATGGCGAGTGACATTTAGAATAAGGTAAACTATTGCGAGATCTGTGCAAAATATCAAAACAACAACCCGAAGGAGTCGATTATCACAACAGAACTACCCAAAAGGCCGTAGTAAGCTATCGCTTGTGGGATTGTTTTTGAATTGTCTCAAATCGTTTTTCCTATTTCTTATAGCTTTTATCATAATCTTCATTAATCCAGAAGTAGAGTTATGTGATTCGATTGATGAAGGCGAAAAATTTCAGAACTTAGACGAAAATATTACATTGAGTTAAGCGAGAAACCATTACATGATTGTGCGGTGTCCGTTGTTCATCCGCCGATTTACTTTTTTCTTTCATTCTCTTGAATAAACAATATGACTAGGATTATTTGGTAAAAATAGAAATATAACATCTACAAAGTTTCTTCAAATTCTTTATCTTCATTATCAATGGTCAACTGAGTTAAATTATTGCAGCTCTTTCTCAGGATAAATATGTAGGTTGCTGCAGGGATTGCTTTTTTCTTCCTTCATTTCAGATATACAAACAACTGACTTGACAGCTATCCCAAAATCTGAAAAGTGTCAGAAACCTCTGATGAATAACAGAGTTGTGTGACGGGCTCTAGGTTTATCTCAGATTATTCAATATTGTGTCGTTCCATTTTGATAAAATCTAAATGAACCTAACGGAGAACTAGTTCTTAAGTCATTTACATTCAGAAACTACAGCGTTATGTAGTTTGTTTAACATGTTCATATGTATAACAGTCTAAAATTTTACCGTTGTTTCTTTCTTTAGAATTATTGTGGCACCGTTGGAGGTAAACTAGTGGAGCTGAAGAATGATGAGGAAGCTAATGATGTTTTCCAGATGATGCCAGACAGAATTCGTAAGGATATAATCTTTTCAAAGTCAAAGAAATCTGCATTAAATCACTACCTGTCTTCTGTGCAATAACAACAATCTAATACTCTTGTTGCTATGTAGAGTGAGCATATTGCAATATTCGTATCAGTAAAAGAATGTAAAATGCAGTTTTCACCAATATCTGGAAAAGTTTCCAATTTATGTTTTGTAATAAATAGAATATTGTATTCGTTTTCGTTTCAAAATAAGTACAATATCGTCTCAAAGTTTCCATCTTACCACGGCAGACGCCGAGTAAAACGAATAAGAGGACCGTGCATTGTCGCCAATGTCCTAAACAATAAGTCATTTTGCAGACTGCCATCTGATAACAAATTTAATAATGCAATCTTATTTTTTAAAATCCTTTCAACAGTCATTGTCATTGAAGGATAACCTCCTTTTGTATGCTACTCAAGTGCATGCGTTGCGGATGAGGGAGGGGGGGATCTGCGATATGTTCAATTTATATAAGCATTACATTCTTAACGGCCCGTCAACACATATAAGTTTATTAGGTCCATCAACTGGGGTGATATGTCCAAGTAAGTTTCCGTGGGGTAGTGTGTGGACCAGGAGCTAACATAATAGTGCTACCTTACCGAAATATACAACCGAAGTTGAGTGCATGAGTGGCGTTGGTTTTTCTTTTTTCGAGGGGGGAGCTATGATATGTTCGTGTTAGCCTCCTGGTTATAGTCCGAAACTGAAAATTACTTTGTAGTGCTACCTGAAGTACACTGCCGAGGTTCCTTGCATGACAACGGTCATATATATAAGGGGCTGGGCTAATCAACCGTTTCACTATCACAATGCCGAACGTAAATAGGTGTAGCTACCATTTTATAGATAGTGTTATGTCTCAACCACGGGCTCGAATCAGTTAAGGACCAGAACAAGGGAAACATTCGAAAAATCTTTAGAAAAGAGATAAGATCTCAAGCACAGTCGCTTCTCACTATCGTGGAGGCAGCAGGAATAGTTCATAATGCTTATTTACAGGACAGACAGAATTAATTCTTGTAAAAGTAAAATTCAACAAAAAATTATTATTATCGAATTCAATCTACAATACAAAAAAACCCACCCTATATTGGAAACTTGGTATACCGGTTTTATGAAATGTATAATATTCATGAATGATCCTGCTAATGTAACCTTTGTAAGATTTCATTGAAATCACTCGACCAGTTTTCAACAAGTAAATACGGATGAGAGACGAATCTGGATCAGAAAGTCACCAAAGCGAGTTCAAGACTTGCCTTATCAATCTGATATGAATGGAAACTTATTCAAGATCTTTTGTTCATGTTTTGATAAAAGATGTCATTATTTCCCTTTGTCCACTGCCAAACTGCCAATCAAATCAAATATATTTAATACCCTTATTATTTCTAGGACTTCGTGATTACATCTACACTGGGGAAAAGAGAACAGATGATGGTATGTGGGTGTTTCAAGCAGAGTTAGATCCAGTTGACATTGCAGCTAGAACCTGGGCTCCAGACGAGCCTGGGGGATCCCCTGAGAATTGTGGATGTGTTAGTAAAGAGGACACGTTTATGATGACCGACTGCCACTGTCGGGGTTTCTATTTACACTTCATATGTGAAAAACCCCGTACCACAGGATAGAAATAATACTCGTTAATGACGTCTCCATGGTATAATACTGTTTAATGAACAAAGAACTCTCTACATAAACACATAGCTCTAAATGAAATAATGTCGTTTCCAAAACCATTTCAGTATTCAAATCAAAATGTTACGTGGAGTGTATTTTGTCAGAACATCCAAAACTTTAAATCGCGAAATATGTAAGGGTAAATGAAAGAAAATATACTTTTTACACAGTTTGTCTTGAAGCTTAAGCTAAAGGAATGATCCTTTTCCCATTATTTCCTCCAGACAGTTTTAGGAAAGATATACTCGGGTATCTACTATGGCAATCGTACTTTTCAATCCGACAAATAACTTATAGCATTCATCAAGTAACAGTAATAGAAATATTTGGCTAGACCGATATATAAACTATTGTGGTTGTGTCACAACGCGGCAGTGCGTCTATTTTGTTGAACTCCATCAGTGTGACGCTTCTCAAAAGAAGCAAAAAGTGTTATCATTCGATTCATCATAAATATGAGTATTCGTTTCATTTGCAAAGATTGGGTCCAGATATATGGGAATTTAACATTAGCATCTGGCCCCATTTGGAATTTCAAAATATGATAACCATAAAGAGATATGGGTATCAGAAGCTTAAATACGGAAACGTTAGTCTCGGAATTGATTTCTTATAAAATGGGAGTTCCTTGACTAACACCTTGTTAGGTGTTAAAGTAGTTGTTATGTAATTCTTTCTAGTTATTATTAGGAAATTCATATAAAATTGTCATTATTGTGTGCACATTGTACCAACCAACATTTTGATACCACATATCACACTATTTCAGGAGAAACGTTTCTTTTACGATGAGAAATGCAGCCAAAATTCATATAAAAAGCCATTACTTTTGAGAAAAGTACTGTTTTGGACACTTCAGTTTTCATATTTCCGAAACAAGTCTATATTCTTAAAAGTTGGACGCAGATGATATCTTTCAATAGGAGGATTCTTCGAAAAATGAAAACCGGTAAATTTGTCATTTTACACATTTGCTTGAAAAAACCAAGAAACACTGATTTTATTTTCATTTTCGTTAAATAGTGACAGTTAATAACCAAAAGTCTGTAGGTCTTGCTATTTGACAAGGTGGTTGTTCATGTCAATTTGTATCAGTTTGGTTAACATTGCTGAACTTGGCCTCTGTTCAAGGTCACACAAATGAAATTGGTTAAAATAAAGACATGTTTGTGCAAGTTTAACAATTTGAAGATTTAGTTAGCAGCTTTATACATATCTTTTGATGAAGGTCAATAAAGTAACCTTATTAAATAGATTATATACAGTAATAGTGAGGGGTTTTGCCTTTGTCAGTTCCGATCCATATGTTGTGGTACTTTGAGAAGCTGATAAGAGATAGAACAGTTGCAGATTGCAGCACATTACATTGCGTTTTAGTATAGCAGAAATGCTCAAGTGATTGCTTGTTTGAACTTGAGTGTTGCATGGACTAGGTAAGTTTGATCTTGATGCTGAACATGGCCCAAGAAATACAAAATTGACGCAACATGTGCACATACCAACGGTTCGCTTGACCGCTGGACAGACACAGGAGTAATCTTTGACAGGGTCATCTTGACAATTTCTGTCAAATGCAATCCAAACATTGTATTTTGACTATGATTTGTGCCTTGAATGGATTCGGCCTCGGAGAGGATTTTCATCATGCTGATAGACCCCAACTTCAAAGTCTCAAGTAGGAGTCAGATGCTCAGCAATATATCTGGGTGCTACTTTCAACTGGTATGAAAGGGTACTGTTTCTAAATATTCCATATCCAGCACTAGAAACTCTATTGAATAGACATCAAGTTTCACCCAGTTGGCCTTGTTGCGCCTAGAAAGGTCAGGTTCATCTGCAAACCTTCTGTTTTTTGTCAAACCACAAAAGACACAAAGTTGAGACCATGAAATACTGGTCTTCAGTTTAACCCAGAAAACAAACAAAGCATGGAATATAGAGGAACATAATCCTCTATAGATGTGTGAGGAGCAAATGCTGTGGATTTGCTGCATTTGTTCACGTGTGTAACCAGTCCATGCTTTGAATTCTTCATTTCTGAGAGGGTCTACATCTATGCCTGTGTTGGTTGGAGTGCCAGCAGAAAGGAAATGGCTTAGTTCAAGAAGGCCATTGCCAACCTGATTAGCTCTTTCTTGAAGATAAAGAGCTAACGGTTCCCTTGTTTGCAGATCTAGTGGGAACGAATGATTCAGAATGTCACCAATTACATGGTCATTGCAAACACGAGCATCAGGGGGACACCATAGAAAATGGAAAAATATCAAGTTTGCACGCTGGGGTATAGTGCAAAGCCGAGTGCCCTCTCTATTCCACATATGAATTGCCACCATAACATAATTCCTCAACAGATATTAGTGGTAGTTGGTTGGATGATATGAAATCAGTGTAAGCATCATCTGCATCCTTAGCCATGTCATCTGGAGCGTTCATACAATTCAGAATGCAGGGGCTTTTGCTTAAGATACCGCTTGTAGCACTTTTTACATAATATGCTTTCTTCTGTGTTTATCTCAGCACTCAGCAGCTGGTGCAGCCAGTTATACTGTGGTGAATATACATGTCTTACTTGAGCTCAGGCTCCGTGAGATAAATCTTTCAACCTGGTTTTGCAACCACGACCTATGCACACGTCCTACAGTAATTTGAATTTAATACAGAATGTCTGACATAAGTGTAACATTGTCTATGTTATTGTCTATAGATACTTAGCAAAAATGGTATGAATACTTTATAGTAATATCTTTATATGTATACTTGCACATTCAGATGTCTGACAAGGTTATTGTTTCTGGCCTTATTTATTAATTATTAATTAGAATATCTAACTAATTTATGTCCATTATTGTTATGTTTCACGATAAACGAAGAAAAGTGGAATGACGATAACATGTTATCAGTAATACTGATAATTTAATCATTGTTAAGTTTTTATAATACAAATTAAACTGTCAGTTGTTCTTTAGAGGATAGATTTCTAGAGCAGAAAACACCATATTAAGTTATACCGACTGAATTTAAAACAAATACAAAATACTTAATATCTTAGTACTACACAAAACTGGAAAATATAGCAGTATTTGGCACAAAAAACCACGCTAATCAAATCTTCATAACTATGGCAAATCATGCAATAAGCATGTTTACATTGCTAGATATATACTTTACCGGTTTTGAAATCACTTGAAATATATTCAAAGACAGCATATATACGTAGAAAGTTTTTAAAGAAGTATGAAATATAGACTGAGATTGCAACTTTACAAAATGATCTTGAAAACTTCTTTATTTTGTGAAAATTTTTTAAAAATCAAAGTTATCAATATGCTTACATTTTTTTGCCAATATAACATATGTGGTATCAAAATAACGGACATTTAATATACGATCATGAACAAATAGGCCACGCCTCCTTTCATTTTCTTTTGCCCCGGAAATCCTAACATACACACATTTCATATTGGTAAAAATAATCATTTTAAAATTGACCCTTTTGATGATTCTCTGAAGGAATAAACAAGCAAGTTATAGACTATCACATGAGAAATTAATATCATTTTGAAAGTTTGGGTATGATAAAAGCTAAGAAATGTGGCTGATTTGCGTATAAAAAGATTTAGCATTGAAAACTTGCTTACTGTTCTGTAACACAGATATCCAATATTTTCTTTGTGTGATCTATTTCGTTTTTATTTTCATCGGACCTTGATTCTCGTTCCAAATAACAATTTTATGTAAAAATTGTGTACTTCTGGGCCATTCTTAGGCTCATTATTCTCCGTGATTCAGTGATATCACTAGAAACAGAAGTGTAGACCCGTTTTCAATACACAGGTCATTTTAGGTGAGTGAAATTGAGGTCGTATTTGCAATATATTTGAGTGAACCGACGAAAAATTGTATAGCTAATATAATTCAACTCGTGCACGATAGACCTGGTATTGATGGGGACTTAATTATCGACAGAGCATAGCGGATAGGGGATAAGAAGGCGGACATGACTAGACCCATGGGAGCAATGTTTAACCGATTTCAGCAAAAAAAGAGTTGTTGGTGAAAAGTAATTCCAGTAAATTAAGGGGGAGTAATATTTACATATCTGACCAGTTCCCTAAAGAAATTTAGGATACACGCAAGAATCTGTGGCCTATGTGTCAAAAGGCTCGGGATGAGAATAGAAATCCGGTCATTGTCAAGGACTAACTAATTATTATTGTTAAACCTGCTTCCCCAAATTTTTCATGTAAACACAAGTTATAATGAAAATATTTAGTAATTCAACTCGTCAAACTCCCTGTAATATAAGTATAAACTAAAGTAAAAAAATTCAGACAGTCTTTGAAGGCTGTCATCTCTTCCCGCAAAATAAAAAGAAACTTGGCCATTATAAAAAAAATTCAATGCCCACATTGTATTCTAATAGCCAAGAAACATCCTTTTATACTGGTAATGAGTATGAAGATTTATAAAATATTCAAATTTACATTTACTCGTGCAGTGGCTGAATGACTTGTTTTTCATGATATTCCAAGAAATAAATCATATGCATTAAACATGTTGAACTCTTTCCTTTGTCAGTTGAAGCATTTGCTTTGTCTTTACTAACATCTGAGGTGCTATGTGATATTTGAAATGTCTTGTTGTCAATTATTGCCAAGAACGTGAAGAGTACTTATTTTCAGATCTTAAATATCATCTGCATATTTTGCTGTTAAGACCTGAAAGAATGTTTTATAAATCGGTAATGGCTAAAACAGAAGGTTCTGAAATTAGTCAAATTGTATTTTGATATACGGCGATATTAGACACAACAAGTATGAGCGAGTTGACAAAAAATAATATAAAAAAAAAACAACCGGAATCAATACGCTTTAGAATTAAAATGTTCACCAAAAAATCCGGTGTTGTTCATTTATTGTTTCAAATCCTAACCTGTCTGTGTTGTTACATAAAATGATAAAATGAAGACTCGAACTCCTAACTTTGCATAATGCAGTTGCTCAGCTAGGTTGTGTATGCTCTCAGTTTAAAAGTCATAAGCAACATGAATTTTCATGGCATGGTTGTTATTTTCCCTTTACCACTGACTAAACATTTACATAGTTCTGGTGCAATTTTGGTTGAAAACGACCATGTTTTAATGCAGATAAATAAAAAATTATGTACATGTTACACTATATATGTGTTACACTATATATGTCGTTCTTTCAAGAAGCAAAGAGATAGTACATCATAACATCATAATCACTTGCCAAAATGTTAGGGTAGGTGAAGAACCTGTGGACTGGAATTCAATTAATTGCATCACGAACTATGATTTCAATATGACCTATTTCATGTTTCTGTGTGTATTTTGGCCGGCTGCTATGTTGAAACAGAAACAGTGGCCCGAGTATGTAGGGCGTACATATAGTGTTATATACGGTTAACGTTTACCAAAAATTGTCACATGTATCCACACGCTCCAGCGTATGATGATGCAGGTAACCTGTTGTTTTGGAAAATGTAGCGTAAAGAAATTTAAGTCGAACAAAGTTTGGAGTTAAATTCAGAGAAGAATGGACATGTGCAAATACGTAACTACGTCTGAATTCCATAAAAAAACTTCTGGTATTCAGGCAATTATCGTTTGTAAGATTCTTCAGGTCATCTAACCACAGATGTATGGCGGTGGTTTCCTTATTAGGGAACAACTTTCAAGATAGTCGCACACGCGATATTTCTCCCTATGTATACTCGTGTTCTGGATTTGCATGCTTTAGATGCACTGAAGAAGTTATAATTGTTTACTCTGTATCAAACTAATCAGTTGATGTTTATACAAAACACAAATATTGATATTCAGTCATTTGGAACTATAGAAATTCTACCCTGGTTCATAAATTCACCTGAGTTGAATTTTAACTTAATGAAATGGTGAAATCAGACAGACAGTTACACTTTTCGTTCATCCTTCTCGAAATTGCAATTAGAATAAAAACATTTCTACATTCATATACTGATGGTTCAAAAGGTAATGATAAGGTTGCCGCTGCTATAGTTACAGAAGATGAAACCTATGGATGCCGGCGACCGAACAACGCCTCAATATTCGCGGCAGAAGCGCGAGATATCTACCTCGCCCTTGAATATATTCAAAGAAACAAAGTAATTAGAGTAGTTATTCATTCAGGCTCTCTTTCGGTTCTACAGAGTCCTAGCAATAGAAATATCGATAATATTTTCATTAGTAATACATTAATATTATATCATGAACTTGCCTTTAACTTTCGTATTGCTTTTTGCTGGGTGCCTCGGCACATGGGAATACCCAGATAATGAAAAAGCAGATCGTACCACAGAAGAAGCTTTATCGTTACCACCTGTTATTTTTAAATTTCATTTTACCGATTTAAAACCATTTATTAAAGACATTTTAAAAGCTCAGTGGCAGGAGGAATGAAATACCTATACCAATAACAAATTGCACTCCGTGAAACCCGTTATCGGTGAATGGTCTCCATGCTATTAGAGACACCCACCGAGACGAAGTTGTCCTTGCTCGTCTTCAGATGGGCCATACATAACTTACACATTCATATATGTTGAAAGGCGAAGATAATCCTCGGTGCATAGGATGTGGTGAGCCATTCACCATTAAACATTTTTTATTGGACTGCATTGACCTTCTGTCTACTCGAAAATGTTTTTATCGTAATATTTCATGTATAAAAACCCTTTTTGAAACTGCTGAGGTTTGTAAAATCTTACGTTACCTGAAAGATGTTGGTCTATATAATAGACTATTACGTACCAATTTAATCTTTTGTGTTAATATACCCATTTAAGATTTTTAGCATTTGTCTTTTACATTTTTGGTTTGTTTAATGTTATTTCCTTTTGGATCGCTGTGTGTTTTACCGGTTGATGGCCCTAATGACCTTTTATGTGTTGACGGGCCGTTACGAATATAATAATAATCAACACTTTAAAATTAAGAATGCAATAATACTAATACTTGAATTTTGTCTGCACATATATCTTGTCGTAGGAATTTTTCATTCAGCAATATAACAATACGTCGACGGAGTAGATGTTAGATAGGAAAATGTTTGTGCGTTTCTGGTATACATGTACTAATGATAAGTGAATATAACACTACAATTCTAAATGTAGTGTGGTCGCTGTGGCGAAGTGCAACTTTGTTGTCGCCTTCAAAATGTTTTTTTTTTTTTTTTTTTTTTCAAATCAGTTGAAATATGTTCCTTGACAATATCTGTAGAAACCTGGGCGTCTTCTGACTTTTTTACTGTTTGTTCCAATCGAGGCAGTATATGTGTTCTGGGGAATAAAAAAAAACATTTGTGGTTTAGGATGATGATCATAACAATCAAGTTGAAAGTCAGTCGCAACAATCGTTCTTGAGAAGAAGTAAAAAAAAATGTTGGCCAATCAGAAACCAGATCGATCATTTTGAAAGTTTCCAATCCCCGCAAATAAAAAAAAACATTTGTGATGAATGGCATAATGATAATTTTTCCAGCTTTCAAAGTCCCGTAACTCTTGCAGATGTTTCAAGTCTAAAGATCCTGTTTTAAACTGTTAAGATTTAAATCTGAAAGATATTGGTCTGTATCATATGATGTAATTTACCATTTTGATCTTCTGTAAGATATAACTATATGGGATGTTAAACATTTTTCTTATACCTTTTAGTTAATTTGGTGTTATTTCCATTTAGATCGCTATGTCACTCACCAGTTGATGACCCTAATGACCGTTTTCTTTGTGTTGACGGGGTGTTGAGATTGTAAAAATAAAATAGATATGTATATATCGTTGATTGTCTACATAATGTGTGCATCCAGAAGATTCTCGGCGTATCTACTCTAGGCACTACCAACTTCCAAATTTCATGCATATAATATTTTTTAAAGAATTACAGGCACTTATTTCTTAATATATATTTACATTAAGTTTGTATGGCTTACCTACTTTTGAAAAAGTATCTTGTATATATTTAGCTAATCGAGCCAGTCGCAGTGACCTAGTTTTGTATGAGCCAGGGAAGGAATCAAACCACGTCAAAAGGGTTAAAATTCTTGATGTTTTCTTGAAACTTTTGCCGCCCAAACAACCTATGTTAGAGTAGGTGATTGTGACCATGGGTAGGGGTGAGGAATTCAAACAGATCAACTATGAAAACACGTTTTACACAAAATCGCAATCAACATTATTCATTAACGGATTGCTGATAAAGTCCCTTAAATAGCTTGTACTAGCAGGATCTTTAGATAAAAACTGATATACATACAAATATTACATACAGGGTTCGGTTTCTGTTTTAGACGATCTATGAAGTAAATGTCTCAAGTCTAATGACGATAAATATGTTAAAGTTACGTCAGTTTGACGCGGCAATACGTGTTACTACAAGTCATCCACGTCTCGGTCATTGATAAAACTAACTTTCTATACATAATACAACAAAATCTGTACACGTTATTCTGACCTTTGACCCCGAATTCCTTACATCCCATCTGTTGCGCGGGACAGACAAAGGTAATCGATAAGAAACAATACTGGTTTTCTTCCTTCGTGTACACGTTTACAGTAATACAAATCTTCGACCTGCTGGGGTTTACTATACACGCCAGCTGGCGACGTGGCACATACTGCACACATGAGCTCTTTAACACGAGTACGATAAAAGGCTACATTGACAATAATTTTAGAAATAATTTCAGGAGCAATATACATTGGATGTTAATTTCATAATGTATCATTTTCATTTGTGACAGGGAATACGTTTCATTCTATGTACATTTCAATAAGATCGAAAAAAACGCGTTTCAACACCGTTTTGTACCGGAAAAAATCGAAATGAAAATGTCGCCGTTTGTTGTTTTCACAATTTGCTTCATGTTTCTACCGTGTAATGGAAAAGTAAAATTTCCGAAAAACATGGCTACGGATCACCAGTTCCCACCGACGATAAGCCGCTCAGTTGGAGGTATCCCAATAGGACATCTCCGACCACTAGGTAGGTTACTACACAAACAATGCTTGGTCATGTAATTTCGGGGCTTAATGTACGATAACCATCCATAACCGTTAAAAAGTTAACTTGAAAGGTTAAAAACACTTATTCGATTTCATATTTTCTCATTCGAGAGAGAAGTAGCCGTGATCGATCGCATATTCAGCGGAAATATGTAACCTTTTTTTCTCTTTCAGAAGCTGTATTTCAGTTTACAAATATACAAGTTTAATAATGTTCTGTCACGTAAAATCCTTTATCCAGCAAATAATTAGTTCTGATAATCCGGGCAAAAAACTTTCCCATCGCATGTGTACACTTTCCACATTTCAAAAATCAATAGATAAAAAGGAAATAAGAAAAAAATACTGAATAAGATTTTGTTTTTTCTGTGTAGGTTACCAGCGAAATCCATCTGGAAAAGTGATGAATACCTTAGAGATGCCCCATGCCCATGCTTTCAACATCAAACACATCAAGGCTAACAAACCGGTGGCCATACGGGAAGCAATGAAAAATTTACAAGTTTTAAAGGACTGGGAGAAGGATGAATATTTAGACAACACGTATGATGATTATTAATCATGTTGTTGGTGCTCTTGTACAGTCTGTATCACCCTGAAAAAGTCTTCACTGTTCTTTATTCCCAAAGTTTCATGTTAGAAACTATCTGTTTCTCACGGATTAAATAAACGGCTTTGTGAATCGATCCCGGATGTCGTGTTTTATTCAGCGGGATCTTATCTGCTCGCGTCTCTTTAAGTCCTGGTTGTCTGTACTTTCGTGTATTCATGTCACGTGTAATGTGCGTGTCACACCCGACATTCACAAAAATCTTTTCATATTGTTTACTTTCAAAACACGAACAGTTAAGGATAAAAAAATCACCACTTAATAACTATGTAGAAGTTTTAAAGCACAAAATTATATTTTTTTGTTTGAAAGTTTTATTCGTTCAAAGTAAACTTCTACATCCCTTTAATCGCATTTCATTTCATACATTTTTCCTAGATGACCAAAAGCTTTCGATAAGGGCAGTCATGTCATTTGAATGACGTCACAGCATTGTTATGTAAATATTGCTTTAAAATGCTAATTATTTGTTATTCTATGAATGTTGGAATATTCGTCTGGTTATTTTGTTTCGCCGTTTTGTAGCTTTGGAAAATTGAATGTCACAGTGACAGTAAAGAAAGAGAGGCGAGCACACGAATATACCTGGATGACAATGGACAAATTCCTGTTGGATTACCTACACGAAGATTGGTACCTGTCCACTATACTTCCGCCGGAAATGGCCAAGGAATTTCCAGTAGGTCAATATGCTAAATGAATTGTTCACGTTTTTAGGGCGTTTTATCATCCACTGTCTCATTACTGAAATTGAAATGTCAAGCACTTACAAATCGGTGATAATTATAAACGTACCAAACTAAAAAGATATTTTATTGATATTTTTTCCTGTATCGGTTAGTATACACGTAGGAAGAAATTATACATGGAATTTGTCAAAACATCGGATTGTCTTGGTACGAAAATTATATACGTTTTAATGATATATGACACAACTTTGCTAGAAAATCAATAGCGCCACGTGTAAATGCTAAAACTATTTATTACCTATTTATTTCTGCTTTGTTTTTATAAGTTTTAATCCAGAATAAGACATTTTAATCAGAATCGTAATCGACTTGCAATTTTTTTCGATTCGGAAGTGTCGTGGAGTTGAATGTCATTATGACCTTATAATGTATAGCGATCGGCATTAAGCTTCAGTCCAATCTGTCGATTTACATCATGGGAATACCATACAAATATAAACACGGAATGTATAAACGGTACCACAGAGAGCTCAAGTACATGGTCGGTCTTTGTAAAAAGTTCACGATGTAAACGTTCAATTGTTACAGGTCCCTGGCTGTTTGAGATGCGGAACTTACCGGAAGAGGTTACAGGAAGCGGAACTGTGGATGAGTTCCGGTGGAACAGCTTCAATGCTTCATAGTCATGAAGATCACACTCTTCATTGCGTCTTATTTGGTCGGAAAGACGTTATTATTATAGAAGGCGAGCATCGTAAAGTCTTTAATTACCAGGAAAAGGTAAATAATCAAATGTTTATGATGTTTTGGCACACTTGTGTTGTACATTTCACAAGTTTTCAAGACGAGTTTAGAAGATATGTCGTTTAACGATCCTCAGACGACATAGAATGACAAAAATATGATGTACTTTAAAAATGTCATACCAAACTGAAGCAATTCAACCAATCAACAATCAATAATTTTGTCTTTGATCTGATTTCGCTATTTTGAGGTAATAATGTTATGTGAAAAGATTAAAAACGATATCGTTCCATTACGCTTTTAAGACTAAGTAATACAATTTCATATCACAAAGGAACATCACAAAATGTGATATAGTGTATATCTTAACACGGACACGGCAGTCAAACAATAACAGGTATATATGTATGATTGATAAAGGTGTGAAAAGTAATAAAAACAAAACTACTGTTGCATTTGGTAGTGAACAGATTCACTTCAAGGAATTAAGACATCAATATATATAGTGTAATATTAATGACAATTAAACAAATCATGACAATACAGACACTGCATGATCGAAGAAGGCGACTAATTGTCTCCATCTCTCCCAGCACTTAGAATCGTGGCTTATCTATCGTGCCTTTCACCAAGGATACACTGAAAAGAACAAAATAGATCTGCTGCCTTATAGCAATACTCCGGGTCTTTCCAGTTTGCTATTTATGTGTGATTTGTTTTTCACTTAAGTATCCATCTGACAACCGTTCTCGTGATAACCCTGGTTGTTACAGGGATATTACATTAAACATACATTTACCTGTTTCAGTCAAATGCTTTTTGGCAGTGCTAAGGAAATCATTCCTTGTATGGAACAAAGCGACATATTGTTCTATCTATAAAGTTCTACTTGAGATTAGTATCTTCAACACTTTGATATAAACATTTCTACATTTATATACTGATGGTTCAAAAGATAAGGTTGCCGAGGCCATAGTTACACAAGATGAAACCTATGGATAGCAGCTACCGAAAAACTCCGCGGAAGCGCGAGCTATCTACCTCCCTTGGTTCCTGGGCACATGAGAATACCAGGCAATGGAAATGCAAAAGGAAGCATTATCGCTACCACCTGTTGTATTTAAACTTCATTTTACCGATTTAAAACCATTAATTAAACAAATTTTAAAAACTCAGTTGCAGGAGGAATGGAATACATATACCAATAATAAATTGCACTCCGTAAAACCTATTATCGGTGAATGGTCTCCTTGCTATATAGACAACCATAAAAAGACGAAGTTGTCCTTGCTCGTCTTCGGATGGGCCATACATATCTTACACATTCCCATATGTTGAAAGGCGAAGATAATCCTTGGTGCATAGGATGTGATGAGCCATTCACCGTTAAACATTTTATGTAGTATCTACTCGAGAATATTTTTATCATAACATTACATGTCTAAAATCCCTTTTTGAAACTAATGAGATTTGTAAAATTCTACATTACCTGAAAGATGTTGGTCTATATAATAGACTATGACGTACCATTTTAATATTTTATGTTAATATACCAATTTAAGATTTTTAACATTTGTCTTTTACCTTTTGGTTTGTTTAATGTTATTTCCTTTTGGATCGCTATGTGTTTTACCGGTTGATAGCCCTAATGAACTTTTATGTGTTGACGGGCCGTTACGAATGTCATAATAATCAACACTTTAAAATTAGATACAACAGAATTATGAATTAAACTTTTACATCAACATCCCTCTCATTCCAGTATCACAATGCTGGCGCAGGATATTCGCCTCTGGACATGGATTTCATCAATATGTTTCAGAACTCTAAGATATCAAAGACTCCATGGACTTACACTACTTTGACGCCGGGAGATTGTCTATTTCTACCTGCAGGTATTATTGAATATGAGAGTCCTTCGTTCTTTCATACGAGTAAATGTTACAACTACTGAATAATCAAACTGATTTCTGAACAAACGTGACATCCGTAAACAAATCTATACCCCATCTTTCTAGCTTTCAATAACGACTACTAGATTTGTTACTGTAAAGTTAGTTCATTTTTTCTTCTGTGTATAGGATACATGCACCAGGTAAGGTCATATGGCAGAGGAATTTCCTACACTGTCCTGTTTGCCCCGTCGCTCGAGTTCGATTCCTCCGACTGCCGTGTACCTGTCGAGAAAAAGAACGACAAACCCAGTATTCCTTCTCTGGCTGACGTTGACTTCGTCTGGACCTCTCGAAATGGCGAGCGAGTAAGCGTTATATATCGTTTGTTATATCTCAAGTCTTTTCATGATAATTGTTGTTGTTTAAAATTTGGCGTATGGATAACAAGCAGGCTTTCGTTCACATCATGTTATATTAAACTGGTTTCATTTAGCTGTTGATCGCAGTAATTCACATTCAAAAGGGAGTTTGATTTAGATCAAAGTTCAGGATTGATAACTGGTGTAATTACAAGAGGGGTTTGTCAAAAGTTGTCCTGTTAACAAAAAATAGAAATTGGAGTTATCTCCCATATATCGTTAGTTATCGACACTGAGTAATTCATTTTATCGTTATAAATGTATATCATCCATGTTTTTACTTTATTTTGCAAGTTGTTTTTACATAAAAATATGTCTGTGTTCAGTTACTTCAGTTTCATCATTTTTCAATTTATAATACATGTATGGTGTCCCGGATGAAGTTTGTATGATTAATGAATAAGGTTAAATGTAATAAAAAATTGTTTCAATTATTTTTTTTAAACATTGATTTTCTACAATGATGATAGTATTCATTTAAGTTTTTTGATGCGAATGGATAGTAATTCCAGACGCATGTGAAACTAGACTAGAAATATTGAAGAACAGTCATTTGAACTCTGGTGTGAATATTCGTTATAATACTTGCTATTCAAGACATCGTAACTCCAGGAACATCAGTCATACTAACTCCTATATTTTTCTTTATCAGGTGTTGAATGTTGGTAAAATGACCCCAAATGTGTTAATGCACGTACTAGATATGCTGATACGGGACAAGGCAAAATTATACATCGAACAGTTTGATCATTTCTACTCGGACGCACTGCAAAAGGTACGTGGAAATATCGACCTTTGTGTATTCCGACACCAGGTCGGAATATGATGATAGTTACAAAGCCTCGATCAACCCCAGAAAAAAGTGCTCTTGTCGTAAAAGCGACTAAATGGTTAGATTTCGTTACTTTCCTCATGCGTTTGATTTCGGACAAACATTAAAATACTTGAAATTAGACTCTTCGCAAAATTATAACACTTTCTTAGGGGAATTGATAAAGATTATCAGCTTCAAACTAACGCTAGTCGACACTCGCTTTTTTGTCTACTACACATCGCTGTTTTGAGTTCATGACGTGACCTTTCGGAGCCTCGTTTTAACCCGCCGTTTTGATATGATTTTTACATGTATAATTATGTAATTATCCAAAACTTAATTTGCCAGCTATGTTTGAATTCATACTATTTACAATGACCTTTCGTTTCACGCTATGAACGTGACAGAGCGAAATAAATGAATCAGAATGAATCAGATCTTAGATAGCATCCGCTTAGACATTGCTTACACTCTCCGAACGATAATGATATGAATTAGTGTTGAGTCACTACTACACAATTTAAAACAGGTATTTGAATGTTAGAATGCTTTCATCAGTTATGAAATGAATATCTAACCCTTTAGTCCCTTTAAACATCCTGTTTGTGATTATATGAACTTATACAAAATATTTGAATTAAAAACATTAATTACGAAATTATGATTTCTTTCCCATGAATAGGCGTACAAGTATCCATCTGCACAGGAAGCTTTCAATATCCTAACTGAAAATCCAGATGAAAATTTCTTAACGAGGACGACAATACGGAACCTGAAACTGGAACAGTTACAAAGATTTTGTAGGCTGTACAATGATGCTTTTCTGGAGCCGACTATAAACAAGGAGGAATTGTAGTAGGAAACGATTGTAATGATTTTCATAAACATGTCATTTTTTGTACATTTCTGATATTTTATTTAAAATCAACATACAATAGTGAAATATCATCAATTATGGGTGTTTCGTTTCCGAAAGATTGTTTTATTAAATAAAGTTTTACAGTAAACGAGTTTTATGTTATAAATGATATTTATTACACCCTCTACAATAAGTATTGAAATATACTGGAATCAACGCGGCCGTTCATGTCCTGATGTCCGGACAACAATTCCTCCATTTGTCATCCAATTTCACATTTTGGTTGTCATGGTAACCTGGTCACAATACCTAGGTCTTTGTGTAAAGATCCATAGTTCTTCAGTCCTTTGATCAGTGGCATAACAAAAACTATAATTCAACACATCAGTGTTTTTTTTTCAGAGCTGTTATTTTGAAAACATTATAGAGGATTCTGATTTGTCGCAATTGACATGTCCGATTATTCTGAAAATAGCTATTTAATGGTTTTGAGGATTGGTAATCATAATACAATGTATTACTTTTGTCTAAAACATCAGGTGTCAGTTGGTTGCCATAAGACTTGTGGTTAGGTCCAACATGGCAACAAATTTCAATGGCAATGAAATGGCACATGTATAGGGAAATGCAAGGTCTATATGAAACGATGAGGTCACTGGAACTGAGAATAAAACATTTTATTATAAATTCTTGGCATCTGTGGGGGTGTTAATTACCGTAAGGATGACAGTTCTAATCATATTTTAATTTTCTTTGCGAACTAAAGAGAGGGAGTACACAAAGTGATCTATCTCACAAAACATTATGATTAATTGGAAACATTTACATACATTTGGTTGAAATTAATCATCTGGTCTATAAGTAGACTTTAAGTCTAAACGCGCGAGGTCTTCCTCTTTCTATATATGTGTTTTAGATGCAGTCATTGATATCAAGGTCCACAAAATGAAATAAACTGCGACGTATTCTGCTGTTGTTTCAGTCGACTAAGGGGGATAAGTGTAAAGGCATGTTGTAGATTTTTTCAGAGTGATTTTTAACCAAAAGCGTAAACTGAAAGGATGTAATTTTTCACGCATAACATGAAACGAACAATATTTGTGTCTTTAGTTTTCTCTATCGAAGTTTCTATTCCTTCCTCGAAAAGAGCGAAAAAGAATATTTCTAAAAACAGTAGCCTTTAGAGTATTTACAATTAAAAGCATACACGCAACCACGACCTATTTCAGTATTTAAATGGATCAACTTTATATTGAATTGTATGTCTGTAGTTATGAAATGTCGGGTGTAGTAATATAACAAGTATTAGATGTATCACTGGACTTTTGAATAAACCAATGAATGATAGTTTCAAAACTTGACTTAAAATAGAATCAGGGTAACAGATGTCATCCGCGGTGATAATTGAATTCACTTGCAAATGAAGATGTATTAAAAATAAGTTTAATATTTTGTTTTGTCGTTTCTTTGAAATATAATTCTATTTGACTTGCCAGTGAAAACATTATCTGAAGACAATTATTGTAAAAATTCTTTTCAAGGGTGGAAGGATATCGCAGAAGTTATATAACTTTAACAAAATGAAATTATCATCCGTGTCATGTCATCTGCTTAAGATAATTTTTTCTGTTCAACGCTTTAGGTCAAAGCTACGACAATCTGACCATTTTAAGTTCGCTACCACGAATGTGACCATGAAAAATGTGTAGTGAAAATAATACGTTCACCTATCGCTATATGGATAACACTTGTATGCTAAATGATCTTCACATGTGATATAAATCTCAGCTGTGTCTACTATTTAAAACGAGTTCAAGAAAAAGAATGCACCATCTAAAATATCATTTTGTAAGCATCGATTAGTAGCTTCGAAGTAAGGTCAAGGACACAACGTACAAGGAGGGGCAACCCTTTTCCCGCGAATTCGATACTGATAAATCTCCTTTATGTAAACACGACAATAATTGCGCGAATTCAACACTGCATAAAGTATATCATGAAGTAAGTTACTTTGGAGCTGATCCTGTTAATCTTTATTTCCAACTTTAATGACGTCATTTTAATTGTCACATCAGTATTTTTTGTGTGTTTACGTAAGCCAATTTTTCGATACTGATGCGTGACTGTTTTTATAACATGACATTAAATTGTTACAGCCTAATCATTTTGTTTTGAACTATTTGAATTGGTATTAAACTGGCAATGCATGTGAACTTTTTAACACTGGCATTATACCTACCCCGTGAATAAATCTTCGTCAGCGATGTATATTTTTGCTAATTGGAAGCCACACACGGTCTTAAAAACATAACTAGTCTACGTTGTCTTCCATCATCGTCATACATTGCTATGCACTATATCCACCAGTAAGAAAGGTTTTGTGCGCCACGCTGTGTTTAGTCTGGCGATAACTAGACACTAGTTTTTTTTTCTACTTTTGTCTAACTTTGCTAACGATCGGCCTATATTTTTGTGAAGAATATTAAATTCGTGTGTATTTGGAAATATGGTTTATTTGAATTTTAACCAGAAAATATTACAATATTTGCACGGTGTGTCATATATTTCTCACGTTGATTGATTGAGAGTAAGTTAACTCCGTACCTGTACATTGTATTACGAAATAAACATTCAATTTATACAAAACAAGAGTATCGCACTGCGGAATAATATAAGATATATTCCAAAGACATACTTTATTGTTTCAAATATTGCTATCAAAACAATTGCCTGCCTGACCCGAACTTAAATTCAAAAGCCAAGTGTAATAATAATTAAATATATCATGTGTGAAAAAACCCGTTGAAAGTTGATGAAGATGATATCTATTTAAAAAGGAAAAGCTGTAAATAACAAGGGCCAATAAGACTTCAACAGTCAAGTCTGAATACCATGACAGGGAAAGCTTTAAATATTGTTACGAAAAAGAAAAGTGAAGAAAATCTATGGACAAAATAAAAACTAGAATGATAAAGAAAAAATATAGCGATACGTCTTTAAACATTTGTTAAATGAAAACGTCATTTAGAGACGAGATATCACGTCACTGTAAAAAGAAATCAGTTGAAAACATAAGGCAGGAGATATTTTAGAGATTTATAAGATTTAAATACCGCAAAAAAGGCAAATAAATCTCGTGTCCAGAAAATACAACGCAAACGATACTGGTCTTTACCAAAGTGATCGGATAAAATGAGAGATCTGCACACAATGAAAAAGACATTTTAAAAACTGCAGAGTTAATGCCGGAAGAAACAGCTTCATTTTATATTGTACAAAAATATACAAGTGATCAGCATTTGTGCCGCAAAAGAAGCTTTATCACTACCACCTGTTGTTTTTTAACGTCATTTTATCGATTTTAAACCATTTTTCAAACAATTTTTAAAAGCTCAGTTGCAGGAGGAATGAAATACATATACCAATAACAAATTGCACTCCGTAAAACCTCTTATCGGTGAATGGTCTCCATGCTATTAGAGACACCCACCGAGACGAAGTTGTCCTTGCTCGTCTTCGGATGGGCCATACATACCTTACACATTCATATATGTTGAAAGGCGAAGATAATTCTCGATGCATAGGATGTGATGAGCCATTCGCCATTAAACATTTTTTATTGGACTGCATTGACCTTCTGTCTACTAGAGAATGTTTTTATCATGGCATTACATGTCTAAAATCCCTTTTTGAAACTGTTGAGATTTGTAAAATTCTACATTACCTGAAAGATATTGGTCTATATAATTGACTATGACATACCATTTTTATATTACTGTAAATATACCAATGAAATATTGTTGGCATTTATCTTTTACCTTTTAGTTTGCTTAATGTTATTTCCTTTTGGATCGCTGTGTGTTTTACCGTTTTATGGCCCTAATGACATTTTATGTGTTGACGGGCCGTTAATAATGCAATGATAATTATAATGATTAGCATTCAAAGCAAAATAGAATAAGATCCCAAATTAGGAATTTAAAAAAATCATACAGAATTCTTCCTTTTGGAATTTGTCAGCGATTCTAGGGGCATAGGCTGAGGAGACAGATGTTGAAAATCCGGAGGATCGAAAGAAATGTGTAAATCTAGATAGTGAGGGACATTCGCCCAATACTTTAATAACATATGAGATTTTCCTTTATTTATTGATTCCAAATGAACGCCAAGTCATGTATTCTGAACCATACCACAATTAGTTAAATTAAAACGTGATGAGAGAAATGGTCTGCATAGACAACATACCACAAAATACTCATAATATTATTAATCTTGGAAAGAAGTGGTATTTGAGAAATAAGTCATCTGATAGATAGAATTTATTTGAAATATGTTTACAAGAAAATATCAAACCCGTAATTAAATGCCAAATCAATATCAAATATGCATTAATTCTTACAAAGATAATGATTAAATTTCTGAGAGGAGAATTATTCCATCTAAGGATATATCTCTTTTTTTCATAGTGCTAGCACACTGCAGTGCCACATGCATAACCCAGTACTTTACACTATTGACTAAAACGAGATTTTTTTTCAAATATGGCTTTATCACTGCTTTATAAACCACAACAACCTTGGGTGGTTAATATACTAGGGTAAAATTAAATCTCCGTTTTCATTCTTGATTCCATGTTGATGTAACCTGCTGTTATTACTTACTGTAAACATGCTATGTAAAGGCAAGAAAGGTAAGTTTTCACAATTCAACATCCGCGTTACCTAAAATGCTATAATGTTTTATATGTAAAATACATCAAACTATTTGATAGATTTTACTTAATTATGACCTCAATACTTTATAAGCATTTTAACTGTTAAACATTATCATTGGTTTTAACTCTCTGTAATAAAACTACACTCTTACGTAAAGTTGTCATAGATGGATGACAACACTTTAACACAGTTTTGATGGAATGTATGGCGAGTGTCCAACTGTCGGGACATTGTTTCCTGTTGTGGTCGGCAGCACATCAGTCAGAAGTTGGCACGACTCTT